TTCTTTGCGTGTTCAATTTATTGCCACAATGCAATTTGCATCCACCTATCTACTTACATCCAATTATGTGTGTCCACATACACCTCTTATTCACATTCTCTCATATATATACAATTATATTTTCATCTACCAACTAATGCCAATAAACATATGTCCTTATTTGTTTTTCTTACTGAAATTAGATTGCAATGGTTATTCCTTAACATGTCAAGTGAATCCATTTAGCTGAATCTTAACATCTATGTCCCAACCAAATGTACCTTATTGGAAACTTTATTTTTCTATGGAAAAGAATTTAGTATTTGAACAATTTAATTTGACAGCAATGTTTGAAGTCATTGTAGATATTGGGTTACATATCTTAATCGCTACAAATTACAAATTTTAAGTGTACATATTATGATTTAATTATTTGTACTTTTAAAGTGTCTATTTTACTATGCAAATATAACTAGTTGGAATATTGATTATAACATCAACTTAGTTAGAAGACCAGCTAGATGAATTCAACTAAAACATTAAATTGGTAGAGTTTCAGAACTTTTAGTACTCTAAAAAGTTTACAAGTACACAAAATTATGATTAGCTCACTACAAGTTCTTAATTTATCACATGCATGTACAAAAAAGCTTTCATGACTAATCTATTCATTACAACCATCATAAATCAAGGCTCAGAAATTGAATTGTGAAGTAATCTTATGTCTCAAATAATAAGTACAACTAAATCTCAAATATTTTCATAAAAATAGAGATGCTAAGAAGATAAATAAGTTGCAGAAAATAGTTAGGAAATTCAAACAATTAGATTTGATATTGACTTTACAACATTAACAAGTGTTTCCTTAAGTCAAATTTCAAGTATTGATGCGATAGACAATGATCTGACATCTAGCTTTTATTACCTAGTGCAAAATGACCATTGAGAGTGTTTCAAAATTCACTCTATGATAAGGTGACTTCATCCCACACAAAGGAAAAAGAAATAGAGAAACATAAGATTAATATTCACAATTTAATCTATCCATACAAACCCAAAGGTCATTTGAGAACTCAAAAGAAAAAGAAGACCAGATAGTAAACACATTATACAAATAATTCATTCCCTTGATATGATGCTACATAACTAAAAATGGAAGGATTTGAATCTAACAAACCATGAAGAACTTAAGTTGGAATTTCACCAAGATTGTCCCTGGTTGTGTGAATTAATATGATAATATTTGATGCTTTCATACATCAATTACTAGTGTCATGTGCTTAAATTTTAAAGTCCATTAGCACTTAGCTTAGAAAACACCTTGAGCTGTATCACAGGCTAAAGCTAAGAACTAAATAAAACAATGACTCTCGAAAAGCAATCTGGTTGCTGATCTTGTAAGCACTTGACCAAGTGATGGCTCAACACTTATTTGGCTACTAGCTATGTGAGAAATATAGTTGTCCATAATCTAACTGCTATCTAACTACCTCTTTATTTAGTAGCAATTATGTTGATTACCAAATAGTTATCCAATTAGTACTTATGTGGGCTCTAGAGAGGTTTGCAGCCTAGCAATTGTCTTATTTCTAGTTTTGTGAGCATTAAGGTGATTGATAGTCCAACAATTATTTACTATTTTGGACACAAATACTTAGACATAATCTTCAAAGAAAATTAGTAGAACTCAAGGAGTAAGAGTCCTCAAAATAGTATATGTATGTAGGAATTTGAACCACTTTCAAAATTGAGTTTCACTAGGGGCTGAACTCTTATAACCCTTCACTCAAAACTATTCCTAAATCCACCATTTTAGAATGTCAACTATTGATTGCAATGATTGGCTCTCATGAGTGATAAGCCAGACTTATCATAAGTTTAACTACAAATTAATGTAAAATTTTACTACAAGTGATAATTTCATAAAGAATGAACGATGACAATTTTGATATAGAGAATAATTAATTTGTCTTGATATTTTTATATCTTCGTGTAGAATCTCTCTGAATGTTAAAGACTTATCCTTGATTTCTAGTTGGAATGAAAATAATTTCTTCATTAGATTCCCATCCCAATTTCACATCTTTGTAATTGTGTTTTTAACTTTTGAATTATGATCAAAATTATTATTGTAGAAAGCTGAAAAATGTTAGCAAAAAGGCACAAGAGAATAGATGATCAAGTGGTGTTCAAATGGACAAGAAAGGGTTAATTTATATTATATAATTTTGATCATGTATTTCTTTTTTTCCACCTCTTCAATATTCTCTCTAAAACTTAAAAAATGTGACATAACCATCTAGCATGATGCCTCATTTACATCTTTTGGATATATCCTTTACATCTAAACATGTAATATATGTCTTCAAGAATCAATTCAGCTAATATATTCAGTTTCAAGATTATTTGCATATGACATTATATTCATATTTTCCCATCACTTTAAATTACATAAATAAATATTTTTTGTTCCCCAACAAACAATATTGATAATTATGATTGTATCCTTTACAATATTGTTTGTCCTTTCCAATCTAGTGGTGTAATCCTTAATTTAGATTGAAAATATATCCACTAAATAAAATTATGCTTTTGAACATATTTTTATATATTTCACCAATCTCAAATTGTATGATTGTACCAACACTTTTTAAACGTGATAATTATGTTTTCAAGGATCTCATAATCATTACTTAGATATAACTATGATTTTATCACTAAATATGCATGTCCAAGTGAGTCATCTTATATTTAATCAAATATAACTATGATTTTATCATTTGATTATACATATGAGGATCGGTAATCATCATAACATTTTAGGACGATAAGGACTCTTAAAGGTAAAATATCCATCTTTCATTTATCTTGACTACAAAAAAATATGCACCACAAAAATGAAAAAATTAAAACCCCATCAGTTCAATTAGATTTCATGTTATAATTTTGTACATCATATTCTAATATCTTAGCAAAGTCTATTCACGGTTACTCCTCAATATCTTTGAATATTCTCTAAGCTCGTGATTATAACATCTTCTCCAAGTTTCTCATTGGTTGGTCTCAACGCATTGTTTGGTCTAAGGTAGAATGGGAACTAGAATATGCTCCATAATCATCGTGCGCCATTTGTCACCTCAACTCTGAAAGAGTTTCTACAACGATAATATGTTTGTTACGGTGATGCCCCCCAACCAGTATGAATTTTCAATAAATTCCAGAATAAACTGCTCAGATTCCCTGCATTCCAGTCAATGCCGTTTCAGCTATCTCCTTCCTCGGATTTTATCCATAAATAGTTTCAACCCCCCACCGGGGTTCACTATCTTATCCGGACAGGGCCAGGCCGTCCGAATCCGCCGTCTACTGTCCGATGGACGTTTGACGGCGACACGTGACCGCAGAGTTCCCTTCTCCTCCGCCGTCGCCGCCATGAGACGTCGCTTTCTCCCTGTCCGGAATCGCGGCCATAAAATCCCCCGCCTTTTTTCTCGGTCTCCTCCCGTATATATATGCACTATTCTCTAATACGGGTGCATTAAATAAGTCGGTGGCCCCTTCTTAAAGGGCCCCGACATACCGAAAGCCCGGCCCGATATACTCTCAGGCCAGGCCCGGAACAGCTTTACTATTGGGCGTGCAAATTTTTCTAATTATTCTAGATCAGAAAAATTATTCTAAATCAGCCTAGTCATTGATCCTCTCTCTCTCTCTCTCTCTCTCTATGTATACATATATATATACATGTATTTCTGTACCTATCTATCTATCTATCTATCTATCTAGTAGGCTCTTTAAGGCCTGAGGTGAAGTTACCTCTCTCTCTATCTATACATACATATATATATATATAGAGATATATATATTGATCTATATATCTACAATGTTATTTAATGAATTTGGGAATTTGTCACGGATGGAAATCCTATTTACACAGAATTTTGATTAAAATATTATGCTCACCCATCCTAGTATCTTAAAATCAGGTCCACCCGTGCTAAAATTTCCATTAAAATATTATGCCCACACATTCTAGTACCTTAATTATTTTTTAAAATAATATTTACATAAATATTTAAGAAATATCCCTAAATTTCTGGTGCTTTTTTCAGATCAAAATTTTGGAAATATTATTTTGGATTAATAACGCGAGAAATAAATATAGGAATATAATTTCTCTGAAAATAAGCGCATATAAAAAAGGGAACAGGGCCGCGGCGGGAGATCGTCGGCTGACTGCGACACGTAGTGTCGCTGTCGGCGCTGTCGGGCGATGGCGGGGTCCCACAGGAGGCGGCCGACCAACGCCAGTCAACGAAGCAGGCGGCTCACGTGCTCGGTCAAGCCGTCAGAGCCCTCTGGTCCCCGTGACGCACGTGCGAGGATGTAGCTAACCTGAAGCCATTCTCGGCACGGCCTCACGTGCTCTCGGAAACAGAAATGCTTTCTGGGAAGGCATTCCTACCCGCATTCCAGAAATAGACCAATCGATCATCAGAGAAGTCACTTCTCTAATGTAATAGCGTGGAAAATGGGAGTGATCGCAATACATATGAAGGGAAACCATTCTCAGCACGGCCTCAGGTGCTCTGAGAAACATAAACGCTTTCTGGGAAGGCATTCCGAGCCTCGTTTCTTCAGATCCCAGAATGAAACCGATCGATCATCTGAGAACTCCTTTCCCAGAATAGCGTGGAAAAACGGCGGGAAAGAGGCTGAGGACGGCGGCGGGTGGGGCCATCCAAAATCACTGGGCAACTGTGGAGACGGTGGGGAGAACAGGAGAATGGCTGTCAGCGCTGGGGGGAAGCTGTGGGGCCCACAGTGGGGCCCACAGTGGGGCCCAGCAACCCTCGTACGGCGTCTCGAACCCCCCCTTCCCCCCGTCCTTCGCCTTTTATCGTCTGACGGGAAAAGGGGGGGAATAGAGAGAGAGAGAGCAGGGCTAGAGAGTAGGGGAGAGGCAGTAGCAGGCTCTTTGGTGGGTGTGGGGGTGGAAGGGAGGGAGAGGGGTGTTTAGAATGCAGCAGCAACTCATGCAGCAGCATCCGATGATGGCATACGCCAACCACCCCGGAAACGTCACCACCGATCTGATCCAGCAGGTTCTTTCCCGTGCGCTAATCGCCGTTTCTTCCTCTTTTCTCGTCTGCATTCATTTCTATGCTCTTTGTGATTTGCGCTAGTTAGGTTCTCTCTCTCTCTCTCTCTCTCTCTCTCTCTCTAAAGATATATATATATATATGTATGTTGTCTGTGCCATATTCCATGCTTATGTTGTTCACACGGAGTCATTCTTCTACTCCTACTTTTTTTTTTCGGCGTTACTAATGAGAGGGACACATTTTATGGTGTTCTATTGGGGTTTTCGACCTGTTCACAGTTTTGCTTACGCAGCAAAGATGATGACGATTTTTTGTCTTTCTTTTGCTTTTAGTCGTGAATTTTGGCTTTTTGATCCGGTGCCCCGCCTCCTCCCCTCCAACATTATTGTACCGTTCTTTACTGTGTCTCTTTATATTTCGTTTTCTGCAGAACATCCTTTTCCAGTATCTTTATATTTCATTTCACTTTCTTTAGACCAGGAGGTAAGATTATGTTTTTTCTCTCTGGCTGGGAATATTTTCCGTTTCCAGGATCTTTTCCTCGGCATCTGTTGATGATTTGAGGAAGGGTCTTTCTCCTGGATAATGATGAAGCTAGTTGTGCGCTCTTACGTCTATTCTATTCGTTTTTGCTGTTGTCCGCTTCTTCAGTGTTTGGCGTATTCTTTCGTCTGTTTGAAGGTTATTGGTCGAAAAAGTTTACTATCTCAATGTCTCTGTACATATTCAGTCTAATGCTCATTGATCTTTAATATCTCAGATTGAAGAATCACGTATAATCCATTGATGTCTTCTCGCTTGTTTTTTCCTTTTTTTAGCTTCCTGAATTCCTGTGGAGACCTCTTTCTGTTGTGCTTCATTGACGTGTAGCATGGGAGTCGTATCATCTTCAGATGGATTTATCAGTAATCTTCGCTATAACATTTCTATGCTGAATAGGGGAGTAGTGTGTTACGTAAGATAAATAGATATTTAGGTCATCTGTACGGAGCATGATTCCGGGATTCTAGTGCTTCTCCTTTAATGTTCCAGATTTGTGCTCATCATTGGTTCAGATTCTTGGATGCTGCCCATGTTACGTGTTCGAATGATGGCGCTAGTCTCTACAGGGCGTTTGAAATAGGTATCTCGCTGGACTATTGATGTGCCCTCTCAGAAGCCCACCTTAATGGCTCCGGATTTGATATTTCACTCTCTTCAGCAGCAAAGGTCCTGATGACAATATGTGCATTCTGAGAAAATGTGAGGTGATCTTGGACGAAGTTTGTGATGGCCGAGAAGCCATTCAGCCTATCCTTAGTTTTGTAGGAGGGGAGCCTCTTTGTTAATGAAGATATTAGCAGAGTATGTTGAGATCACAGAACTAAATCTCTGGTGTCCTTCGGAGACGAATGGAAAAATCAGATTTTCTGGAGTGGGAAATGATCCTGTACGGGTCTTGTTCTAGATCTTCCTCATTCCTAGCTAGGTGCGAGATGAAGAACCACTTTCTCTGTGGTCCCTGTTCAGAAGAGGGGCTTTATATATCCTCAAAAAGCCAGAGGGCATGGGGTTGGATCTTGTGGAACCAGTACATCAAGCTAAAAGCGAGATAATCTGTATAAAAATAAGTGAATCTCGTAAAAAAAACTTCATGAAATTCATTACGATTGGGGTGAAACGCTCAAAAACTATTTTCATTAAAAAGCAGATCAAAAATAGGTTTTAAGTGCGTGATAGTTGAGAGATTATTTACCAATAAGATTGAGGTGGAATTATAAAATCTAGATAACAACTAATGAATTGAGATGAAAAAGCTTCAATAACCTAATGCTGAGGTGGAACGTCTACAAATAAGATCAGAAGAAATATCTTCATGCGTACATCTGAATCTAAGAAATATGGACCAAAGATTGGGGAGTAAGTTACCTTCTCTTGAAGTAATGAACCCAGTCGAGTTGAGAGGTATTAAGGGTGCGAAATCTAGCTGGTCCCACGTTTGAAACCTATATCTTGCATGAGAAGGGAAAGGAGTCATGCTCGTGCAGTTTTTGATTTTTTCCGTGCAGAATCTTCTTATGTTGACACCTGATATGGCAACAGGCCTGCATGGGAATAGGCGGATTCTTTTAAACATGGAAGGTCCTCTCAAGAGACGACTTTACACATGAATGATTGGGGTGTGGTCGTGTGGGGGTCTTTGCCCTTGGGCCAAAAAGTTATGCAAAATCATTTGAGGTTCTGCATGGAAAAATTGTGTTGTCAATGGGGGTTGGTTGTGGACGATCTTGGTTGTCATGTGACAGATGGAGATCCAACCAAGCTCTTGTTAGAAGAGAATCTTCACATAATGCTAATGGTAGAGGGAGCAGATGATGATTTGGCTTCTCGCATTTATCTATCCTCAAGGTCGTTGTCCAATTTCTGTTCTCTGCCTTTCATGAGTTGATAATGAAATTCCGTTGCTTCTGTCAAGTCCTCTGGGTTGTAAATGAAAAACAGATAAATATATTAGAATTGTAAATGACAACGTAAAAGTAGGTCAAGAACTAATAGGAAAAGAAAATAGATCCGTAAGTGAAAATCCTGAGAAAAAATGGAGCTTAAAAGAAGTTAGGCGGTGTTCTTCTTTGAGCCATATTACTTCAGAATGGTTATTGTCAAAGATGATGTTCTATAGCTTTGATGAAACAACTCTAGTCCTTTGTTTCCCTACCAATGGATCAGTAGTCATTGGTATTGGACTAGGTGTCTGAATCTTCCCATTGAACCTACCCTTGATGGGGAGATAGCATGTCAGTCCGGGTCATGCTAGAGAAAGCTATTATGGTCATCCATCAGCCCAAGTTTTGGAAAAAGATTCTAACGAAATGCAATGGCTTATCAATTTTCATGGTCCTAGCTGGGCATGGAGTACCAGCAGAGCGAGTGAACTGTAATCCTTATAAGTGGTGCTGAAGTAAAATTTTTGTGTGCAAAAATCAATCATAAAAGACAGTCTATTCAGAGTCTTCCTCTAGGTGTTTCACTAGGTCATGGAACATTGTCAGAGCTTGGAGATGTATTGTTGATGTGCATGATAGTCTTTGGCCATTTCAGACACCTTTTCTTCTTTTACTTGAAATTCAAGTGAAGAAATTGGTCAAAAGTTTCCATCCTCGTGTGCTTTGCGTTCAATCCTCAAATTAATCGTTGATACTTCTCCTCAAGCCAGTAGTTTTTTTTATTTTGGATGTTTCACTCGTTATTTCTGGAGAGGTTATCATTGCAAATCCATGAGTGCTGACGCAGATGTTAACACTTTGATAGTTTTGGTGTTGGCTTGGTTCTCCTTGGTGGCAACACTTGTGGACATTGTTCTCTTTTTACCATCAGATGTCAATACTTATCTCAGAAGTGTTAACGTTTGACAGGTGTCAATTCTTTACAGCTTATGTATTGACGCTCGAGATGATATTATTGTACACCAATAGTTATTGACACTAGATGTAATAGGTAGCGACACTCTTTGGTTAGGAGTTGACATTTTGCTTGTTTCAGATTGCAGGCATTAATATGATCCATTTTTGCAGATCCAATGTATATGCATCTAAATTCGATGGTTAGAACATTAAGTTAGTACCTTGCTGAGGACAGGTCTTTCTCGTCAGTATGCCACTGTCATCTTTCACTTCCCCTCAAGCTAAGAACCTCCTCTATATTCACAACTCAAACTAATTTCGACTCTAAACTGCAGCTTAAGAAAGTTCTTGTTGTAATGGCTTAAGAAAGGGCTGGGAGAGTCTTAGAAGAAATAGTTTGGCATTCCTTAGTTTGATTGGTATACTTCGATTTATCAGAGTTACCGCCTGTGAGAGATATCTAGCATATCCTTGACCTTTCCCGAAGGAATTCGAGGCCTTTCCTTGCCCTATTATCACATACCCTTTTAGTGGACGCACTAAGATGGGGATATAGGCGGTATAATGATTGTGAAACTGATTTGTGATATGCCCTTATTCTTTCTCTTGTACCGATTACCCATTGAAATGATGGTTCTACCACCCTTGGTATCCCTTAGAAGTGGCAGCAATTGAAGAAGGTTTGCTGAAAGTCAATCAACCATTGAGGTGGTAATCAAGTACTTGTGGCCAATAATAGAACTTATATGATTAAATGGCCTGGGTAAGAGGAGCCAACTGTTAATATAAAGAAGTGTGCTTACTTGCCGTCAAATTATTTTTCTTGGGTTTATAGTGTTCAAGCATTTTTATTCAAACTAAGGTTGGAGGTACCTATTGCTGAATTATTCGGGGAGATTGCACCATCACAAATTGTATAGTGGAAATGAATGTTTGTGTGACAATAAATGACTCCTAGACCCTTGTAAAGGATAAAAAATTATGTTAGAAGCCCAATCTTGTCTTCAGAATTTTTGAAAGGTGCTTGAAGTCTCTCGTGATGCTTCCATAAAAAATTGATGTGGCTGCGGCTTTACTATTGAAAAATAAAATATAGATTTTTTTACTGTTATTTTGGTATAGCAGATTATAATTGCCTACGTTTGTGAGGAATTAATCTTTTCAATAACTTTTTGACTATAGCTGGCATGGAAAGGGAATTACTCTTGGATGGGCAGAACAGTCCTTTCCCTCATGGCTATGAAAATGACTTCCATTGAGCTGTATGTCTTCCACTTAGGAGAAAGGACCTCAATTATCGGGTTTTAGGTCTATATCCAATGTAGAATTATATCCCTAAATGTTACTTCTTTTTCGGGGATAACCAGCTCGTTTTGTAGCCCTTGTCTCAATCGACTAGGGAAGGAGAGCAAAAAGTAGCTAGCCACTTTTGCCTTTTCTCAACCCTCTATTCTGGCCAGAGATGGCGGGACACCATTTCCTTGCTTGTGAGGCGAGTTCCATTTCTCTCCCGTCAGGAAGCTGTCTTCCTTTATTGATTTTTGTAGGCTCTGCATTAACTTCCCCCCGCGCATGATATTTTGCTGGGAGTATTTCTGCTGTGCTTTCGTCCAGAAGTCACTAGAGCGCTGCAGCCTCTCTCTTCTTGCTTCAACAGCTACTCCCTGTCTACGTCATTGTGTGTACTCCTCTTGATTTCTTCTATTGGAAGACATCGGCATCGTTCTCTATAGCTGCAGGTGATGGGCTGCTCTATCTTATTGTCATTTTCAGAAGTCATGATTATCTGTCTCCTGTTAATGGCTTCCTCACCTTTACTGAGGGCATTACTGGTGCTGGGAACACCACCTCTAGTGACTCAATGCTCCAAAAGGGTTTCCTAAGGTTTCCCTTTGTGTCAGTTGCAACTGCAACTGGATGCCGGTGTACATTGCCTCTCTTTGCATGGTTTTTTCCCCTTTCCCATACGCATTTGAGGACATGCTCTGTTTTTTTTTTTTCCAACCCATTTTTGTTTGGAAAATCTTCCCAGGATTCTGTTACACCGCACTTTTTTTATTCTTTTGTGTTTGCCAGTAACCAATGTGATCTGAAATAATGAACGCAACTTCCTTCTGTTTTCTGCTAATTTTTGGCAGTACCTGGATGAGAACAAGCAACTGATCTTGGCAATTCTTGACAACCAAAATTCTGGCAAACTTGATGAGTGTGCCGTGTGAGTATCTCCTAATTTTGGTGTGAATGGTTCAAATTTTGTCTGCAAGTCTCACTCTGTCAGTGTTTGAACGCTAATATATGATATTATTATTGTTAAATTCCTGCATGAATTATAATTCCTCTTTTGATTTATCCTCTTCTCGATAGTTACAATAGTAACAGCCTGCCATGTACTGGCTTAATTTGTTGCATATTTGTTTATTGAGATGAATGAAAATTGGAAGAGCGTTTACTCTTAAGATGAACAGGACAACAAGATAACAGACTGGAAGGTCATAAGGGTTACTGCGTTATGCTGTCTACATGTGCTTGGCTCTAAAAATTACATGATGAAGATACCTCTTTTTAACATTATGTTCGCAAAAATTAACATTATGTTGTTGAGATGGAAACAGGCCAGACTATTGCTTGCTTCTGAAGTTAGTTTTCATCTATGATAAACACCCCTCCAAAGAAAAATTGTTAGAGTAGAAAAAGAAGAGTGAGTGATTTAATTGATGATTAAAGGATGATAAGTATTTGGACTTTCCATTTGAATGGGAAAATCATTTCTTTTGGAAGAAAAGTCACTGGGCACTGGAGCCGTCCATTTTGTTTCTGTTAGGATGTTAAACTGGCAATTATTCTGAGGAATGATGAAGAGGGCGGTTCAATGATTTTCGAAGCCTTCTGTCTTTAGTTTAGTCTATGCCATCTTAGTTTAGATTTTCTGCTGATGTAAAGAATTTTTTTTCTAGAGTTGATTTTATGCATACGTTATGCCTTTAAATGCCTTTTAGTGTAACTGCAACAGGAAAGGAAAGTGGGATATTAATGAGATTTCATGGTCTTTTCCTATCTAGGATCCAGAGAATTAAACATCTCTCTTTTGTTACTATCATCTTTGCACTCTCTTTCCTAATGGTCTGTAATACTTCTTAGTACATGCTAATCATGTTTGTTTTGGCTCCTTCTTATTTTTGGATTAATGATTCATCAATTTTATTATTGTATTCACGTGTAAGTTTTTACCAATAATTAAATGGTGAAATGGAGTCTTCTTGTTCATATATGTAGAATTTTGGAGGTAGAGGAGATGAATGGAGTAAGACGGAAACCATTTGTGCAGTTCCTTCCCCTTAACATGGATTTTACGAACTATGGAAAAAATCTGTCTGCGCTAAGGCCACTGTATTGTAGTTGTAAGGCCCTAAAGCCTTATAACTATTTTTGTTGTATCAGTTAAATTTGGATATTTGTTAACTCGTTATTAGATTCATGTAAAATCTGTAATATAATATCCAAGAGCCCCTAAGTCTCTTAACAAAACAAGGAAACGGAACACTTCTTCTAGTGTCCCGAAACTTAATTGAAATTGTATTTCTATGAATTCATTTTTGTCTTGATATTTGTCATGGGTTGCGATTGTCTTATCCAAGATATTTGAATGTTTTGATTTTTACTCCATGGCCAATGTCAAAGTCTTACAGGGCATTAGGGTTAGGACTTTTCGGGATAAGGCTGAACTGTGTTTTTATCCCCAGTTATGTCCAACTGTAAAAATTCCCAGTTCGTATTGAAGGTCTCACGGTAACAGAAATACTGCTCCATTATAAATTGGTTAAAACTATTTATCTCCTTTTTGAGTATGCTTCAGAGAAATTACCTTCTATCATTGATCTGAGAGTTAGAAGGGAGATGCTTCATGCTTACATTCTTGCTCTTTAGACAATGGAGCATTTAAGATCCAAGTAAAATGTTCTCACACAGCTTGATGACATAAACTCTTGCATGGTTCTGCATTTCCTCCATTTGTTTGACAATGTGATGTCTCATGTTTTCCTAATCATCCTCGCCTTTTATGATTCTACCTCATGAAATTTTCCCCAAGAAAAAGAATTTGTAGAAATTTAACACATCGTTTTGTAGTTGAAGATTCATGAAAGACAGTGGAATATGGATTTGTTCCCTTTTTTTCTTTCTAATATCCAAATTGGATCCTGTATGATATTGCAGGAATCAAGCAAAGCTTCAAAGAAATCTCATGTACCTTGCTGCTATCGCAGATTCTCAGCCTCAGATGCCAACAATTGCACAGGTACTAATCTTTATCTACCGATTCTTGCCCTTTTCGTCATAATGGTTGATGACGTGATATGCTATGGACACGCAATGATGTTTTCAGTTTTCAGATTCATAACGCTTAAAATGTATCTTTTACCATAGGAAAAATCTTATAACGCTTAAGATGAGCTTGAGGGTATGTATACCTCTCTTTTGGTGATGCTGTACAGATGTCAAATACAATAGCCTACAGAAGGGCTAAATGACAAAAAGACGTAGCTGGGAAGGTTGTACTAGGATTTTACTTTCTTCTTTGAACACCCATTTTGAAACTCATAGGTGATCATATACATAGAGTTTATGAGCAAGAAAAGCTAGAAAAGCTTTCTAAAGTGCAGTCATGTCTGGGGTTTTGATAAGTCAGGAAGCTGCATGCCTGCAGAAAGATATGAGGAAGAGGTAACGCTTGAACAGTACTATTGTCAGATAGAATGACAATCAATTTAGATGTTTTTCTGCTAATCGAATATGAGATTTTTGACGTTTTGAAGTACATGCCGAGTATCCCTATATTGTGGAGTTGATGCTGAAGGGTGTACACTGAGGTCTTGAAGTAGACTGGTGTTTATCTGTCTCAGTAGATGCATCAGACGTAGAACGCTTCTTTCCACCTTAGTGTTGGAGTGAGAGATACCTGCGTGTTTCTTGCTCCTTTAACAGATAGAAGAGTAGTCAAGAGGGATAAAAAGCTCATGGTGGAACAATGGTTGGGATGGGTGATCAGCAGCCCAGTTAGTATCAATATAAGCACAAACCTCCCAAGGTGCAGTGAATTATAAAAACAAAGAACAATGAAGGGTGCCATCCAATTATTGAAGAACTCAAATCATGGTCACAAACGGACTGAAGTATGTTTTCCGGAAAATGGACTAAAGATATGCACAACCTGGTTGATTTCTGGACAATTGATTTTGAAAGTACTCAAGAGCACCAACGTGCTAACAATAGGGATTTGATTCTACGAGGTGCACCAACAAAAGAGCAAAGCTTATGTTGTAGGTCCATTAGAGTGTCAATTGTGTGAGAACATGACCAGTGCCGGGCAGAATGTCAGTGATATACTTCTGCGCAGATAATAGGTTACTCAAGTAGAACAAGTGGCCTCGAGATAAAAGAACTGGTGTACCGTTGAGAAATATTAATTGACATATCTGCTAAACCGGAGAAGGAAGATCAGCCTGTTGGGTTGTCAATCATCGTACATTAGTACAAGTGGTAGATCTTTCTGGGGCCTATCTTAAGTTGAACTAAAAGTGATGGGCTTAAAGATTACAACAGTGGCAAAAGAGTTAAACTGCAAAGAAGCGGGAAGCCATGTCTCATCAAAATTATTGTCAAAACAGCGGTTTCCATAGTAGGCAGAGGAGAACAAAGACGTTGTTGAGGGTCATCAGAAACTGATAAAGCATTTGACTATTGTGTTGTCTATGATAAAAAAGAGTAATCTCACCCACAGCATGCATAGAATCAACCTTAGTCCATAAATATATATAGCAGTGCTGAATGAACTCCTAACAAAGGCAATTGAGCCAAGAGGTATGCAGATGCTTGAAGTGGAGTATCAATGGAACCACAACTTTGTGTTTCTCATGGCAGCGTGTAGAGTTGCAGCCTAGAAGGTATAGTTATTGAGTTTCTGGCAGGCTGAATAGCCATCTTAGGAATATTGAGCATGTCAACATTGTAGAGGCAGAAAAATACCTCAAAAACAATGCTGTATGGTGAAAAATAGATTGAACAAATGCGATTGGAGCAGCAGAAATTTCCCATGGACAAACAAGAAGTCTGTGGAAATGTTGAGCCATATGGACGTCAATGAAACTTGGTTCCAATTGCTGGAATTCTAGTCCTTGCCAAGCTGGAACTGGGGGGTATATCAATTGGGTATCACAGCAGACTTCATTGGAACAATTACTTGATTCATGGCGCTGATATTTAGTAAAATTTGAATATAAGTTACTTATTTAGTAAAGCTTGACACATGCAGTGAATTTGCAGTGCAAATTTGAGACAGACTAGTTTGCAATGAGGCACTTGTGCTTTGTTTATTCATCGCTTACTTGGTCAGGCGTGTGAAAGAGCGACTTTTGGAGACCTCTTTATTCGGGATGATGCCAGAAAAGGACAATGCTTTTTTGATTTCATGTTCAATTATGAATTTTGAAGTCTGATCGGCTACGGCTCAAACTAGGACTACGAACCACATCTCAGCGTTTGGTCACATCTTTTTCGGATTAGATTTCCTAAGAAGTAAAAAGAATGCTGCTTTTGAGTTTTTTAATGCAGCCTATCAGTAAGTTGCTTTGGCCAAATTAAGTTTAATATAATCTTATTTGTAGTTGTGCCTTAGTCTTCTTACGATATATATTTATTTATTTTTACCGTATTTTCTGCTCAACAAGTGAGCGTGCAGCTGTAACTAAAATCGTGGAGATTTCGTTGTGACATGTGAGCCTGGGGGCACATATGGCTGCCTAGACTTCGGTTCTGCATGCAGCACCAAAGTAATAGAAGAAGAAATGTGTGCTGATTAATAAGAAAGACCTCAATGTATAATCCACGACTGTTCTAGTGTTATTTGTTAGCACCCTGGGCAGATTCCTCCTCGATATCTTAGCGCAAAGTCAAGGCTTCTGAGGTGTAGAATGGGCTTCTGAAACTAACTAACATTGGGGAGATTTGGTTGAGATATGTGACCCTGGGGACAGCCAAGATTTCGATTCTGACTGCAGAACCCAAGCAATTGAAGAAGAATTGTGTGCAAATCAACAAGTAAAACCTCAATGTAAAATCCAGGACTATTCTAGTGATATTTGTTAGCAACCTGGGCAAATTCCTCCTCGATATCTTAGCGCAAAGTCAAGGCTTCTGAGGTGTAGAATGGGCTGAGTTCATGAAAAATCAGTATAAAAGTAAAGAAGAAATGGGGAAAAGTGAAGGTAGGATTTACAGGATAAAGATGATCCTGCTTTAGTCATCTTAAGGACGCATAATCTCCTTCAACGTTGTTGTAGAAAGCCATGGATCCCCTAACCGTGAAAGCAACCTGGAACCCACCCTCCTAGCTGCTCGAGCTCAGGGGCCATCTTGGCTTTTGATACCCACACATCGATTTAATGGGCCGTAGTTTTTGACGTTAGAGAATGCGAGGGCCAGTTAATTGAGTTGAGTCCTGGCAGTTCTCACTCCAACTGTGAAATCTTACTTTTCATATCACTTCCCGCATTTCAATTCATATTTCATATGAGACGGAATCCTTCTTGTTAAAACAGTGATCTTCTTTATGAATAGCAGAAATTCTGCTTTGTTTCAAATCATATTTCACATGTGAGACGAAATCCTCCCTGACCATGTGTAAGAGCAGTGATCGATCGTCCTCGTCCGTATGAACATCAAAACTATGGTTAGTCTCTCACATGTTCTCGTCGTCGACACCGTCTTTGCAGCAGTTCCCACCCAATACTCTCACGCAGCCAGGTTCTCGCTACATGCAGCAGCAGCAAGCCCAGCAGATGACGACACCGCAGTCTCTCATGGTCTCCCGCTCTCCGATGCTCTATGCCCAGTCGTCCATCCCAACCTTGCAGCAGCAGCAGCAGCAGCAGCAGCAGGATCTCCACAGCCAGCTCGGCATTGCGGGAGGCGGTGAGCTCCACATGCTTCCTGGCCATGGCGGTCTTGGCGGTGGAGTATTCCCCGACTTTGGCCGAAACAGCGGCACCGGCAAGCAGGAGATGGGCGCCGCCGCCGGACCATCGGAAGGGAGGGGTGGTAGCTCAGGGGTGCCCGGCGGTGATGGGACTGAGCCCCTGTACTTGAAGAACACTTCAGAGGAAGCCAAGTGATGGGATCTTCTAACTTAGCTTCAGTTGGTGGGTGGGTGGTGGTGGGCATGTTGTGATGGTGACTGGTGTATGATTAGACGGTAGAAACAGGGATTTGCTTTGTAGGCAATTTGCTTTAACATGTGTAAATTTGGTAGGATCCACGCCGCCATGAATATAGCTTCTTGCGGAAAGTAGAGCTCTGTTTCTTCTTAACCTTTGAATGGCAGGTGGCTCATCCTCAAGCTTTCCGCTTTGGAATTGGAGGCGGAGCATATGGAAGGAATCCGTGAATCCACAGGTATTGTTACAATGACATGCGACAATCTGGGTTGACTGTTCCAATGTCAGGTATTTCATGTCTGACATTCCATTAATTATTCATTCCAGCATTTATTTTTTTTCATTCCTTTCAATTTTGTTGCTTGTGGCTGAGAATGTTTAAAAAGTCAACGGGTGGCAGAAATTCGCCGAAGGTGGTACTGTTAATGTGATCATCAGCAATCGTTAGAGCCATATCCCACAAGACGATTCATTTGTTCCATATGGGACTTAATTACTTCCATTTAATGGCAGTTGAAAGTTATATATGCGAAGAATGTCTACAAAGGTGGTAGTCATCCCCCAAAGAGAGTTTCTCATGTGGTGAATTACGCATAGCTTTTAGAAAGATCATTAAATCAAGAAGCCTAGAAGCCTAGAAGCCTAGGCTGTGTGTGTGAGGGGTGTTATTTCAGTAATTTAGATGGGCAGATCGGTAAATTCAGAATAGCAATCATCACAGAGGCTGAAATATTTGAGAAAAACTGAATCTTATGAAAGTCCAATGTTAGTCTAGGGCCATAAGCTTTGAATATAATGAATCCTTGCAAAGAATAAATTCATACAATTTAGTCTCTAGTGAAGTCCCAACGCATACTTGGCAAAAGCCATGTCTTATTTGTCATGCCATGTAAGGTGAAATGCTATATTTAACTATATTTATACATGATGATTACATAAAAATCATTTTTTTAACTCCTTGCTATCACCTTTGAAATATCCATCTGCAAAAGTGTCAGTTTCACTTAGTTTATTATTTGATGAATGGAGCATGACTAAAAGTATCAGCACTTGAGTTCAAGTATCTACCATTGATAAATGATAATTATAATGTTGACTTGAATTACAACCGTAATAGAACTAGCACATACTGAATGCTACTACCCAATCTCTATCTAGGTTAATCTTGGAGTCTATTGTATTCTTAAGCTATTTCCTTTTCTTAAGACTTATAAGAGAATAATGCAACGTATGATCGTATATTTTATAACGCTCTTCAATAAACATCAATACACACTACAATCACAAAGATGTTATGGAAAAATAATGTGAAAAGGATTTTCACCCTTCGGATAATATTTTGCTATCATTAAAACATTTAAACTCAATGATGCAGAAAAAATGGAAAAACTAACTCATAGAATTAATATTGTAAAAACATATCAACTAATCTTTAAGATCTTTGTGGCTAAAACAATGATGCAATAAATATAATATAAAATAATAAAGAAAAATGTTTCATTTGAAAGAAAAAGGTGAAAATTATTAGAAAACCTTATGAGTGAGTGGTTGGTTAGAACAGAACAAGAACATGTATAATCATCAGAATTCAAATCCTTGAAAACGAAAAGACAAGTCTCGACTAAAGGTTTCTAAATGATATGAACAAATTGAAAGATTAGAAAGAATACCCTACTTTTGCACCAAGACTTACACATGAAAAATATCCTAATAAAAGCTAGAGGTCGAGTAGTTGCAATAATTGATAGCGATTAGTGCATCAGCCTTTCCCAATAGTGTCTTTATAAGTGATAAAGTAGTTTAATGTCCTAATATATGGTTTAAATCCTACTTATCATAAACTAGGATGGACACAAACTATAAATGGTGCCGATTGGACATGTAGCAGGTTTCAAATAAACTCCAACACACAGAGACGATGCAAAGGCAATAAGAGTAAACGCATTGATAGAGCAGGATGATCCTTCACTGTTCATCTTTCAACAATCTGTGGCAATTACACCTCTCATTTTAAGCTGAGACCCAAAAAATGCCTCAATGATATATTATTGCAGCGCTGTTAAAACCTTGTGATCAGTGCCCATTCGCACGATGGTACTTGTTGTATCCATTCAACACACGAACCAAATTCAGATAATCCTGATGATAAGAGTACTCGTTATCTGCTGCCGTTCCCAAACTCACCGGAGGGCGTGCAACACCCAACGGCCACTGCTTCTGAATCGGCCCATCAATCTGGCTGTTCATGTAGGCTGGAAGATCAAACTGCGGCGAGGAACGTGACCTTTGGCTTGCAGGTGGCCGATCATAAGAAGCAGACTCCCTCTGGACTAGCCGTTCATAGAGCTCAGTCCCCAGATTGAAGAGCTCGCTTCTATGGATTGCGTTTATAGCAGCTGAAGCATCATCTGGAAACGAATAATTCCCATTTGAGGCAGGAAAAGAGCGAAGAGGGTACCCATTTGCGTCCACCTCTCCGGTGCTGTGCTCCTCATCGAGCAAGTCATTTATGATGTCTATATGAGGAAACTCATCCTGGGTCACTCCCTGTGCTGGCAATTGATGGGCAGATGAGGAAGCAGGAGAATCTTCCTCTAAAGAGTACCTGCGCGAGGAAGAAGACCCACAAACAGCAAAGTCCACATCGCATTCAGCATCTGGACTCAGCACTGCCGCACTGCTACTCTCCAGCAGCAAGGACTCCTCTGGCCACAAGCTTGGGGGCTGCTGCAATGTCTCCGGAGTTACTGACCCAAAAGTGAGCTCCGGTCTGACCGAGGTTTGCTCCGTCGCAGTGGACTTTTCAGGTGGACGAGCCGACACAGAGGGCACAATGGAAGGTGATCCCTCGGCAGATGAAGCAGGAGCTTGGCTTGTGTGATTGGGCGCCGAGATGGCAGCACAACTGTGTGGGCTTCCGCCCGCTGTGGTTATACCCATGATGGCATTTCGGTAAGACTGAACATGACTGTGGGTGGACAGGGATGGGTCAATTCCCAGTCGACCAGCTGCACTGACAGAACGCGATAAGACAGGCACTGGTTGAGGTCTTGAAGCAAGGGGCATCGATGGCAGCCGCTGCTGCTTGGGAACGAGAGGAGCACTGGATAGTCTCGATGAGGCAGAGCCTTGATGTACAAGGATAATATTCTTCATGTTAACTGCGGATTTCACTTCTGCTCCAATGACTGCAATTGACCTTGATACAGCGGCAGCCGATGATTTCCCAGTTTGGCTCCTGCTGCCGGATGATGGCTCCTTGGCGATCACAGGAGTAGCTGGACTGCCCAATGGCTCACTGACTGTTGTAGTATTTGGTGTGTCCGAGGGACGCTCACTCGTGGTGAAAGGGTCGTCGCCCATGATGATATGCCGTTCTGGTGTCTGCTTTGTGCCGCTGCTTTCTGCTCTCAGCTTTACCTGCTCAGAAGTAGGGGAATGCCTTGTGGGGATGGTGCCAGAGGGTTGCTCGCCCATTGCTGGAATTGAGGGCCTATCCAAATCAACTTGGACATCCCTACTGTGTTTTCTCTCCAGGGGCACAACTTCTTCCTGAGATAATTTAGCCACCGTTTTAAGGCATTCAAGGCAGACGAGTAGCAAAATACAATTAATGGTAGAACTATATAGAAGGGAGAAATATAATTTCGTCGTATCCAACCTGATACCAGGCTCTGGGAAACAATGCATACCCAACAGAACATGGAGAAATTAAATAAAATAGAATCTGAAAGAAAATATGACACATATTGCCATCACTTATGGATCGTCGTATCTATATATTGCAACAAAGAAGTTAATTGAAAGGATTAATAACAAACATAATACAATAATTACACTCAGCTGTCCAATTTGTCCAAGACTGGTTATGGAAGTAGGTACAATTATGCTACGATGACAAATCCTGATGTGGGCCATGTTTCTGCCATAAGCACTGCAAACATTTCTACAGAAACTTCTAAACATCCCGCAGAAAAGGCATTGGCCGGGTCCCAATAATGGACCGACTGCCAGCAGTCACTGTGGTAACTAGCCGCCGATTAGACCTCCAGACTCGTTGGCTGAAAAGCCAGAGGAATAAAAGACGAGGGGAAGATGGAAATTCACTACACACTAAAAGGATTGCAGAGGTGCCATGATTCCCTTTTATAGGAAACTGAATGGACAAGAATCATCAGAAAAACTGAGAATGAGCGAAAGATGGCTATCCCTTATACACTAACAGCATTGGAGAGAGGTTTAAATTTCCTTCTATATGAAACTGGTCGCAAAAGAATTTTAGAAGGCAGTTTATCGTGAAAAAGTTGTAGAACAGATCGTGTGGGAAAAAGAAAAATACAAGTAATCATCAAGGCTCGTACAGAAGTAGGCTTCATGGATACGTGCTGAACTATCAATTTTGACGTTATTGTACTTAACGGAAATTCATATTTTAGAGCCACAGGAGGAGATCTAAAGATAGTCAAAAAAGCTCTTCCATGAGACAGAAAATTCATATTATCAGTCTCTACCTTAATAGGTTGTTTCTCGATGTGTTTCATCTGCCCACTCATGGAGGAATCAATGGCCTCGGAGTCTGGCTGAGGAGTTGCAGCAGCATGAGTAAAGCCAGCTTGCCGCTTATCAATGACACCATGAGGCTGACAATTTTGATTATATGAGAACCGCTGATTCTTTCGCCTGCCAAAACGTATTGAATCGATAATGAGGAATTTTGCTTATTTAAATATCAGACGGAAGTACAAGAGTATTGAGTAAAACAGAGTACACCAGAGGTTATGGATACCTGCTACGTGAACATGAGATCTTGTTGTTCAATGGCGAAGTCCCCTTGTGTGGTCCACTCATCACAATTGAAAGAACTGAATCAGTTGAACATGTTGATGAGCTATCATCCACAGAATTTGGGCTCTTTTTCTCAGTTTGTGCACTTTCTAGTTCAGTGTTTCTGGGCTCTACAGCATGATGAACTTCTGATGCATCAGTGTCCCAAGTTGTAGGGCTAGCCTCTCTCTCTTCTGAATCGGGCTGATGCCTCACATCACCATCATCTATTGCCGCAAATCCATCAGCAGCACCTGCCAATGTTTTAACCTTCTCAGGAACATTTGAAGCTTGATTTTCTGGGAGCTCTTCAAATACTTCTGCGGAAATTTTCTCCTCTTGGAGCTTCTTGGTAGTTGAATCACTCTTCTCACACCGGCCCTTGTCTTTTCCCTTGCGACTACCTTTTTTCTGTTTTACCTGGAGGTAAAATGAAAAGTTGAAAGGCCATCTCATGACTGCCAGTGAAAATGCACTAATTCTTTCCCTATTCTAAATCGGAACGAGATGCACACAGAAAAATTGGTGAGATGAAAAAAATTGAAATCCAGGATTCTTCCACATGACAATAATGATGATCATGATCAAAAAATGAAATCCCATAATGGACACACATGTGTCTCTTCGGATGTAAAAAACAACCTACTGAACAAAACATATACGGTAAGAAGTGCAGTTGCTGTAATTTAAATTCATAATTTCGGTGCAGTGTGCAACGGCAAAATGAAGAATAAAATGTTGCTTCAACAAGAAAGATATTCAATTAACCATAATTTTGAAAGATAGATACAAGCAAAATATGGGAAACAGACTCTGGCAATATACTCGGAGGAATTTCCTCAAAAAAAGAATAGCATGGTTCTTCTGGTTCAAATACATGTCAGAAATGGTAAGTGTAAAAAAAAATGAAACTTGTGTTGGTCAAAGTCAATTCCATCAGGGCAAGGACTGCAACAGCCTCAGCAGGTTATCACCAAAGTTGATATTTAAGTTCACAGTCAGCAGCCGAAATGACTGAATACATGAGCTAAACAATCATGACATTCAACAAAAATAAATTAGAGCAATATCAAGTTAATTGTATCGTCCACATTTTACAATTCTGTGAACATTTCAGATGAACCTCAAATGAAAGATGTGTAATTATTTTCAGTCCTAACAATGCATCATCCTATTTTTCCTCTAGGCATATATTTTCCTTCATTCAATGAATTGTATTTTGCAGCTAATGTCAGGAGTAGTTCTTCCTTTCTTCCTCTATCTTTTCAATTCTTCTCGCTCCCCCGACATTATTCTTATCTGTACTGATTTGATTCTTATCCATTGAAACCAATCAGTTTCAAAGATGAACTTAACACTGTGAGTTGTCACACAATTCCAGCCCAATTTTCTACACTTTAAACATGAACATACCCTTGGATTGGCACCCATTCTTAATCATCTTTTCCATTATCTTCTCTTTTATAAGTCTCTTCTGTCCCCGGATATGCCTGTTTTCCTATGGACCAATCGGTTTCGAACATGATTCAACGATGCTTGTCAGTCAACTTTCAGGCCAACTTTCTGAACGCGGATAACGGACACAGATCCATGTGTAACAAACATAGCGTGCATTCTTCAGCCTCAAAGTATGCACTAACCAGTAGAACTTCTTTTCAGGTGTATGAAGATTAGAAATATCACATGACGATAATTCAAGTCATGAAACTGCGAAATCTATTCTGATTAGAAAACGAACACAAAGTATTACTTAATCAGCAGCATTAGCCTGTGATAGCCTATCCAAGCCATTTTATTCAACTAGTGAATCATGTTAGATCATTCTTCATCACCTGCACCACACTGCAGTTGGTTCTGGTTGCTTCCAAAACTAAGATGTTAAACATCAAGTTAGTCTTGCACGAAAAACACCATGATGTCAGATTAGATATACGACTTACCTATTAGGGTATACGAATGAATAACCTATGTTCGTTAACCTACATCATTATGACGACTGATTAATGGTGTCCAAGTTTGAATCAGACTGACTCATTAGTCTGAAAACACAAACTATCTATTTGGACAACAATAATCAGACTTAGGTGGATGACATAAGTCATAACAATACAGGTTCAATATATTATGGGAAATTTGATGGGCCAGGAACTTTTGAAGGCTTTTTTGGAGTTCTGTTGAGTAACTATCCAGTGGGATATGGCAGAAATATTCAGCGAATGACAGTGATGATCAGCCAGTAAGCATTGGAATCTCTCCCAACTTAAATTGAAGTAAGCCAAAAGATCAATTTGTTAACTAAATTAAGGCCACATTGCTTCTTAATGACAAAAAAATGGGAGAGATAGATATCCTAGATTCAACCATCTGGAACATCCAAAAAAGGGTAGAAAACTGTTTTTTCCTATGCTGAACCCAATATAATTCTGAACGCGTTTGCAAAAATAGAATCTATATAAATATCTTCATACAAAGAAGTGCCAAGTGTAGACCCGTTGCATTGAGACAGAAAAACTTCCTAAACAGTTACTAGACAAACGCAATCAAATACGTCAATAGGGGACAAATTGTCACCAAAATTCTCTTCAGCTTCATTGTCATTATGCTACTTTCATACGAAAAACCCTCAGCTTCACTGTAACTAACAATCCGTATGGTAGAAATACTTATAAAGAGTACATTATAAAGAGTCACCAAGCATAAGCCAATTCACTCAATAATTTTTCGTGAACTTATTTCAAATTGCAAAAGCATGGAAACGTAACTATACATGGGCAAGCCATATGAGAAATGTAGAATAGAAATAACTACAAGGAAAAACTTTTTCTGGGGCATCCAACCTGCTTCTTCTTCATTCGCTTCTCCTTTTCAGCAGCAATGCGCCTGGACCTCAATTCATTTTCAGCTTGTCCTGCTGCCTCCTCTTCACGAATAAGCTCTTCCTGCCTTCTCAGGGCAACTGCCTCTTGGTAGGCGACCTCAATCATGCTGCTTGGACATAAAAAAAAAATTAAAACATTGCAGCAGCCAAGGCAACAATTGAAAAGATATATGTTTCTACCAGACAATAAAAAACCAATAAAACCCCAAATTCAAAGAGGATTACAAAAAAAGGCAAGTTTTTTACAAGGAAAAAAAAATTAGAAGGTTTTAACGTCTTCTCAAGATATTAAAAGCCTTTTAGAAAGATAGCAAAAGTATGTTAGACTTTTAAAAACCTGTCTCCTAATAGCCAAATCATAACTTGCAAAAAGCCAGCTTGCAGAATTTGGTGTCTCCATTCAGGTTGCAACCAAGGTAGCAGAACGGAATTCTCTGTCACTGGACCATAAAAATTTGAAAACTAGAAGTAGGAAACCTCGTGCATCAGTTTGAAACACAATGTAACCTAAAGATGAGCTGTACATACACAACAGATTGTCCAAGTAAATATATGTTAACTTAATGTTAACTACAAAAAACCTACATGCACAGAATTTGAGAGATTAAAATCTCTATGCTACTGCTCCAGACTTAGCCCAACCACAGTGTTTCATCCAAGCTACCAAGTTCAGAATAATAGGTTTCCCGAGAAATCTTCATGGGTTAACATACCAATACATTAACCCCTATAGTCTCCTCAAAGGTATCTACCATAAGCCAATTCTGCAACATTCATCTCCTCATTATCAGACTTGCATCAGAACTGATCACTAAAGAAGTATTAAGAAGCCAATTGTATCTGATATGCTTCGATTTCTCCTTAATACCTTTCAAACTTAGGCCATAAATCTGCTGACCAGGATTCCCCATGTCATGATTAAAATCTTGCATATTATTAAACTTTTTTCACATTCATTATATAACTACTTAAAGGATGTAATATGTAGTAGAAAGGATAAGTAGAATTAACAATTTTCCCCTCCAGAAGGTGGGAAACAAAACAACACCAATCATTAAGGAGACCAAAGCAAGGCACTTTCCTATCACCGACTTTACATCTAAAATATTCTTTTACTTTTAAAATATCTGCAAATGCAGACATAATAAAATTCGAAAAAAGACAATTTTACGAAATGACAAAATTTGAAACGCAATCCATAGGAAGCAACACGAGAATAACCATTCCAAAGAATATTACATTACGTTAAACTGCTTGTTGAGCGTTTTGAATAAGTAGTGACAAAAAAGGCAATTATATACATGTGTGTTTTGTATTTTAGGATTATGGAATGATAACTTGAGCAGCCTGGAGAATGTGTGCACACATTTGTGCACACAAGTTCATAAGCATCTGCAGCTACCTATGCAGCCTGACTGCTATCGGTCTCTCGGCTGCCTAGTCCTCCAGGCCATGTTATAGAAACACTAAAAAAATACTACCTTAAAGGATTAAAATGAGCACAAGGATATACGAGAAATGTGCATCTTCCTATCAGCCGAATAAAAACAAAAAGCTTCCCGGAAGATCCTGGCATGGTCCTTTTGCAACCAAACAAACGTTGAGTGAGGGTAATGTTGAAGTCAAAATATGAAAACTAAGCCATGTTTTAGAAGAAACAAAGGTGAGTAAAAGACTACCTATAAATATGGTTCAAAGCAAATATCTCCACTGTTCTACGTCCAAGCTCTGTAAGGCGCCTTTCATCACGCTCAATAGAATCTTTACTTAGATCTTCCCCAGAGTTGCCTTCCTGGAAAGACGACATATATTGAAGACACAGTTATAAGAAAAACAGGTGATAACAATGCCACAATACAAATACACCTTCCAAGCATACTCTTATGCAAAGTCAGTTACTACTTTGACAGTTACACAAAAGATAAAAAAGGAAACGCTGTCCAATGCTGGGTTTAGTTACTCTTATGAAAGCTTGCTTTTAGTCCAATGCTGAACACACTGAACCTGGACACTCATTTCGCTCCTTAAGAAAACATAACGAGAAGGTATACAACAAGGTTCGCATCATACCTTAATACGGTTCTGATTTTGGGAACCCTTGTCCTCCTTAGGAGGCAATGGTTCCAAAGCAGCTCTTTCAAGCACCAGCAGCACATCCTCTGTCAAAACAAATACATCTTTCTCAACAAGGACAAAAGGTTCTGGCATTTCCTCCATTTCTAACAGTTTAGCTCTTCCTTTCTTGCTCTTGCTCTGGTACTCAAGAGCTTTCAAACCACTGTAGAGATAATCCATCACCAAAGTTGACGTGACTTCATTCTCTATAAAAAAGTGCTTAACAACTACTTTCAGTATGGTTTCAGATTTGTCACGTGACATCCGTCGCCTAGTATTGTGGTCAGTTCCTAACCAGAAGTCATGGAAACTGACAAAAAAGAACACAGAACACATGCAATAAGCAAATGAAAATTTAAAGGTTGGTGAAGCCTGCTTTTCATACTATTAAAAGGTAATAGGTATCAAAGATTATGTGTCCGACCTTGACCACCTAACTTTGTCTTCTATTATCTTAATAAATTTGCCCCTCTTCTCTTCAACATAACGTCTGCACAGTTGCTCTACATTTGACAGATAAACCCGAACAAGCTCTCTCCTGTACTGACAATCAAGGCAACGGAATGGATGATGCGCTTTCTCCCTGAAAATAAACGAGAATATTTGGCAATAAATCTCCCATGATCACGGAATGGAAAAATAAAGATAAATCATGTTTTTATCCCAATCAGATTCTGAATTCAAAAAGAAGAGAAATTCAGAGAAAGAAACCCAAGTTCATTCAGTTAAAACAAGTATAAGGAAATCATACATCAATGTAGTAATTTTCACTCATTGTATACAAAAACAATCAAGAAGATATTTTCCCTCATTTCTTATTTCCCCCTAGATTGCATTGTTAAAAAAGCAAGTAAGATGAAGCAAACGGTTGTTTAGCAGGTAGAGAAACACATTCCATTAGATTGACCAAGTCATGAAGGAGAACCTAACTCAATGGTTTTGAGATTAACTCAATGTGTGTATGCTGACAGAATATGGCATCTGTAATTAAGGTGAACAGTTCCCTGGTGTTTAGTTATAACCTACGCTCAGAAATAATCCAAAGTTTTTCTTTTGTTGCCAGTTGTTACAAGATAATCAAGTTTCTCTAGTTCATGTCACCTGAACAAAGAATTACCAGATCAGTCCCACATCAATGGACAGAAAACACCCCTCAAGTAAAAATCAGCTTTTGGCCTTCGAGCCTACAAATGGCAAAACGTCAACTTGGAGTGCAATGATAAAAATGACCTCGTTACCACCAAAACTCGCGCAGATTTATTCAAAGATTCAACAATAGGCAGACAGTGACCCCAGTGCCCCACGAGCATTGGACCACTGGTTAAGATATAAGTTTACATATTGATTGCACCAAAATGACAATGTTTTTGCTTGTGAACTCGACAAAATGTCCTAGAGAGTCTGGAAAATATTTTCAACCCGTAAATTCTTCAAGCAATTCATCATCCCCAGATCAATCCCAAGCGACCAGTGCGCCTCTTTGTGAATAGACAAAAAGAGAGAACCGCATGAGCAATAATGAACTATGGATAGTAGCTAGTCCACGCCAGCTGGCATGCAAACAGGCTATGTAATCTTATAGATCAAGCAGTACACAAGTTCTGAAGTGAAGTATGTTCATTGTTACACAACCTAAGAACAAAGTCATTCAGAGATATAGATCAATTTCAGATTAAGTCTTGGCATGTCTCAATAAATGCTTATCTGAAGTAATGATGTGTTATTAAACCACTAACAGTTGACAATGCAGATGGAAATGTTCTGTTTGGTAACCACTAGCCTCACAAACACTCAACATCTTAATGGAATTGATCTACATTGAGGCAAGACTAAGCTTGATGTAACTCATAGAGCATGGCTGAGCGTTAGATCTTTGATAATTTCTTCCCTATTTTTTTCAGCACATGATCACAAACAGTAAAAAGGGAATGGCAGAAGAACGTTTTGTAAGCTCTTAAAATGACAGGTTCACACTCTTTCACGTACATCAAATTCCCAACCACTCAGCGAACTTGCCACAAATCAACTAAGAAAGCTAACAGATGAGAACCTTTTACAGATAAAAATGCATCATCATGCTATTGGACTTCAAATAATTACCTGATGACTTGAACTTGGGCCTTGATCACTAGAGCATCATCAACAAGAAACCCATCGGACACTTTTGACAGCTCCATAAACTTTTTCCATCCCCAATCATGTTCTTTCTTCCAGAACCGGTGGAGTGTGTCTGAAAAATTGAAAAAAACCATGACAAATTACAGATATGGCGCAAACAAGAAACATCAAAAGGTAGATGTTGGATCCGGATACTCAAAACTAACCAGAATATTTTGACTTCTTTGAATCCTTATTCACGACAGCAATTGTAAATTGTGCAAAGTGGCTCCAACCTGTCAATAGTCGTGAGCTTGAATAAAGATCAAAGTAACCATAAGCCACTAAGAAAGTAATTATAATAACACATCACAAACCTGGAAGCAACTTGTCATGATTAGCAACACAGAGGAAAAGAGAGAGATGATTGCACACATCACATCCTTGAGGATAGATTAAAATATACCTACAATCAAAGGGAACTTTCAATTTTAAACGTATGATAAAAGGCAGAGCAAAGACCTCCACTGTACTTAGCATGCTTTACTCCATAGAAATGTCTATAAGATGCTTGTTAGCGTCCTAATTTCGATAAAATTGAGCATAAATATATAGATCGTTCAATCCTATCTACTATTCAAACAAATAAATTCCTTAAGGGGAAAGTCCTTAATCAATCCACATTTTAAGCCTCTGCTCCTAACTACTTACCCCTATTGCACTTTCAAAGCACCCCATAGAATGTTTAAGGAATTGATATAGACCAGCAGGATTGCCACCTTTAAGAAACCAGATAGTCACATTATGCATTTACCTCCATAAACACAAGCTACATTGAGTCATCAGGCAGTATGCGGAAAGAATACCAGTGAGTGAGTTAGAAATTCACCTCAAGGAGCAAACCAAACTCTCAAGAGAACCAAACCACGCACCCAGTTCATTGTCTCATATAATGTTCTTTCTACTAAGCTGAGCGGAAAAGTGCATCTCTGAATGTTATTCCAGATATGATGTGCGACAAACACATTCTTAAGCGTATTTTTCTATCCCAAAAGTAGTCAAAATTCCACTTAGAGGCTAATAATTTTATATCACACAAGGGACTATAGAAGAATAAAACATTCCTCAGGAAGACAATTTTAGCTCCTAATGTGAATATACGGACAGAATTTTAGTCCTCGTATTCACTAAAACATGCTGAAATAAAAATATCAACATCAGGTAATTGCTAAGACATTTTAAAAAAACAAGTATTCAACCTCATGAGAAATATGAAATACCCAGAGAATACCCAGAATCTAGAATATACGGCATACAGTAAAAAGAATGAGAAAAAAAATCCCAAATTAGACGGAAAAATATCTCAAGAAAAAGACACACAAGTGACATCCAGATTAACTGCCACGTGGATCTAATACTAACATTCTCCCGAAATTAATTCAAACGCGTAGCACAACAACATAGAGATTACAAAAAAAGGGAGAAACTGAATGCACATACCCCATGGAGTAAATCTGAGAAAATTTACAACGATGCATGCAAGCACAAGTAAAGTGCACTTAATGAAACATTTATATCAGATGCACATACCACTTATAGCCGCCAACCTCAAAAACATTGCTACGGAGTTCTCGTTTGCTAATCTGAGAAAAACCTTCAATCTTCCATGTAAATTTTCCATATAAATCGGAAGGCCCCGGCCCTGCAAGAGCATTTAATACATACAGGCTCAGAAATAATCATCACATTCTTGAAGTAAAAAGGGTGAAAGGTAATAAGGCTAAAAAATGTTTTAAAATAAAGATATATCTCATATAACAGGTGAAAAGTGAAAAGTACCCTTGTCTCCAGTTTTTTTTCTCTATTTCATTGGTCGTTATTTCTCCCCTAATGTACTGTTCTCCATTGATTTATAATACTGAACTTGTTCACACTCTAAAAAATAGGGACAACAGAAGTAGCTCAAAGTTTTAAACAACTTGGATGAGCTGCTATATTTAGATTTCAGGCTGATTTTATGTGGCAGAAAATCAAGAAACTGAATGATGTCACTCAATAAGCTGAAAAAAGATGCCTGCCACAGCTACTGTACCGATGCTTTCCAGATTCCATTCGGAAGGACCTTCCAAATGCTCTTAAAAATTAGCACGAAAACAGTTCATATCAATCGTCACTAAGTCCCAACTTCTTGGCAAATCCAATTTTGTTATCTCGGGGACATTAAAATGCCCATTAGAGATTCAAATTTTTACCGATACATTTAAGAATTCCAGTTTGGGTACTTTTTTCAAGATTCGGCAACAGCGGCAAGGGAACCTTTTTGGGTAGCATTTCATCTTTCATACTACATTTTTGCCAATTAAAGTTTTAAGACTGATAACAGTAATCGCAGAATGGCAACAGACCTCGCTAAAATTATATGATATTTCCTTCTAGAGACACCAAATTTATCATGAAAGCATGATCCAGGTCACGGCCAGAACCTTTATGTTCCTTATCCCCTCATCCATGACGTTGTGGACAACTAATCACACGAAACTTATCAGCGTCCGTACATGTTTCCAATTCATCTGATGAGAATCTCCCTCCCTCCCACCTGTCCAAAGCGAGAAGATTGAGTAGCCTCAACATCAATTCGTACATTCCTGCTCTTCTGCCTCCACCATTTCATAATACCGGAGAAAGAGAAGGAAAGTTTCTGATCTCACAGACCGGTGAGGTCAGAATGCTTCCCTACAGTTCTTCAGCTAGCAATCATAAAAAATATGGTATCTACATGGCAATATCGGGGTTCCAATCATTTCAAATGCATCGGCCATAAAATATACAACAAAGTTACAATCCCATCCTATATCCGAAAAAAACTATCAGAAGGTAATTTATCACAACTTATCCCTGGAAAAATATCAGCCATCAAATTAAACTACAGAAATACATCCTTGTTAAACTACAGTCTAAAGAAAGAATCATCGCACATATCTTTTGGCCAGCCATGCGCAGTGAGAGATTTAAAGTGAGAATCAAAAGGAGGAGGCAGAGAGGGGGGGAGAGAGAGAGACCGGCATATTGTACACAACTCTTCACTTTCAATTTTTCAAAAAAAATCCAAAGTACTGTGAGAGAAATGAGCTTCAATGGGAAGGAATTAAATGGAGAATAGTTTATCATGCATTAGATTTTATCAAAAATTGAACAGTTATTCGCAAATTATTTGATACCAACATAAAACCACCTAGTTTATTGTCCATAAAGACCTCACTGCTGACATTTTGTCTACATATTTATTTAATTCTATCAACTCAACTAGCATACACTTTGCAACGTTATGTTCCAAGATGGCATTTTTCCAGATTGAAAAGTATGATAAGTATGATATCAGGATGATCAACTCTATAGACCAAGGTGTCACCACAATGTCAATAAGCTGGGCAAGCCATCTACAGCTACAACTCGACTAGACTTGCGAGCCACAAAATTGAGTCCACTAGTCACATAGGGGATAAAATTCCTTGCTGGAACCTTAATCAGCGGTCAGACATGTTTCTTTCCCACATCCCTCACGGATTTAGTTAATTCCCAAAGGTTACAGAAAAACATCTTCCTCAAGATACCTCCTGCAAAACATGATTTAGTTACTGTACATCACGTGAAGATCTACCATAATCTTACTTGTAACTTTACCACCAAAATCTACTGTTCTCGACTTAACAATTATGCATCTTATTATACCTCCCTTTTCAAGAATTTCTAAAAATCGTTTCAGTATTTTTCGCATGGTACACACAATCCAGAGACAAGTTTTCAATCTTCTCTCCCAATTAACACATTCTCAGAAGAGCAACAGAAATCAAACTCACCCGAAAAATAAAATTATCAGTATAAAGACTAATTTGATCATAAAAGAATAGTTCCATAAATGTTCCCTATCATACAGAACAGAACATGTAATATGACCCGTTGATAACAAACAATTGGTAAAGACAGTCTTCCAATCAATTAATCAGAGGTATATCTGCACAAGATGACGGAAAACGTTGTTCACGTGAAATTCATAAAATATAATTGTTGCAAAAAAAGTTTCTGATATGATTGATGCACCAAAAAAGACTAGGCATACTTGATCATAAATGGTGCTTCTTCTACATAGGCCAAGCATCATTATATGCAAAATAAACTTCCTGCTAACAATAAACACCTCAAATCCCAAGGCTAAAAAAGGAAAAGTTGAACCCAAAGTAAATTCTGCATACAATGCAAATTTTTTGTCCAATATCGGTCAACACATTTGTCCAGGCATTGCCCAAGAATCTAACAAAAACATGTTATGAGATTGAATCATCTGAATCATGTGAACTCTCCTTATAAAGAGTATGATGTATTATCCCAGAAAATAGCCAATGCTGACAGATATTCTTCATGCCTCAAGAGTGAAGATTGAACACGTAGCAAACTACAATAAGACGTTTAAATTAAAGGATTGTTTGACCCCAAGGATCATAAGGCTTGGCCCGAGAATCCAATCGTAAACCATGCTATTAACGCTTGATCGTAACAATAATTTGCATCCATGGTGTAATATGCACTTCAAAGTGATATTGACATTATCACGACCACTGAATCAAAGATTATTTATGCTGATGAAATAAAAAGATACAAACATATATCAAAATGTTTCTTTCGGGCTCAAAGAGTTGGTCAAATGTGGCAGAAACACATCACAGAAGAAGTTTACTGCCACCAAATAAAATGACACAAACCCACTGTTGGAACACATTTTGTCTTTCCTTGGGCAACAATGAAACACAGCAAAAATTACATTTCAACATAAAAAATGGAATGATAAGTGCATACCAGAATCATCATCAGTGTCCCAGTAGGAAGGAGATGTAGATGGGTTCCCATTCTCAACTTGCTCCGACGATCGCCATTCTGGATGAGAATCACCAGAGATGCAACGATGACCACTTGGCATGACCTCAACTGATGAAGACTGACTTTCCAGGACACAGTCTTGACTTGTGCTGTCACCCATTGCCTCCAATGATAACTAGAGAGACACCTCTCAGAAAAAGAAAATCGAATCCCCCAGGTAGGCTCCTGAGAAACATCAGATTACATGAGAATCAGTTTCCATAGCAGGCGACTCCAATCTTCTGACCAGATGAACAAGCATGCGGAACTGGCGCACTCAAAATAGTCGAGCACGTCAAAGAACCCCACGAATTAAATTTCACAGCGAGAAAATTTTTCCCAATAAGAGAAGGTAAACTTGATAAAGCCAATAAAAAGCGATGGAAATAAAAATTTGCAGCAAGACGCCCCGACGCTACGCCAGGGGCTCCATTCAGGAAATAGCACCTTCCTGCGCACCGTGGGAACAAGTCACAAACCCTAGAAAGTTCGTAAATCAGCGTGAACCCCGTCAAAAGGAAACGAGTAAAACCGAACGAAGATGACGGGATCAGACGATGAGGAGGTGATAATCAAACACCCCTACCTTCTATTTGGGGGATCTACTGCGGCAGACCGATGGTAGTACCTCCTCGAAGCCCCAAACAGGAGAGAACAATGACGATAGTCGATGACTCCACCAGCAGAAGCTTCCGATGACAGCGAGGAGAGGTGATACGAAAATAATGAAACAGAAACTCTTCCCTTTCCTTCTTCACAAGCGCGCCGCATCCGAGCTCCCACTCCTCGTCTCCCTACCCCCCCCACCTTGAAGTTCTCATCAAATGGTTGCTCTGATTGCTGGTTCTGACGTCCACGAGCAGAAGACGAAGAGAGAAGAGGAGGCGGAGGCAGAGGTATTGCAAAGAGGGCGTAGCAAGGAGAGGACCCCAAAGAACCCCCACGCCCTCCCCCCCTCCCTAATGAGGGAAAAAAAACTCATTTTTAAATGTCAATCAAAGCTCTTAAATACCTTTTTTATAGGAAATACTTCCGAATATTAGAAAGATTAACGCTTACTATTTATGGCCTACTCAATCTGTCTTGAGAAAGATTCCCCACGATGCTATTCCCCTTACTTTTATTCAATCTTTTGTGCACAAAAGATTGAAGAATTCTTAATTTTATGACTACTATTTTTTCTATAAAATTAGATTATATAATTATAAATATCTAATATGGACAAGGCGGATGCAAAGTAAGAAAAAAAAATCCTTTTAATTAATCAATCAAGGCCCTTTAAATTATTTTTACAGGGAAATTCTCCAAATATTAGATATTTACATTTCCGATTATAGTATAAATTCTTCAATATTGTTTTACACAAAATTATTTATTTACAATATAATCTTAAAGAAAATTGAAGGATTCATATTTTTATAAAAAAATAAATATTTTATAAATTCGTTTTAAATAATTATAAATATCGAATATGCAGAGATATTGCAAAGAGAGAGAATGCAAGAGGGAAAATAACTCATTTTAAGTATTCAAACCCCTTTATTAAATAATTTATAGGGAATACCCCCGAATATTACATATTTATAATCCCTATGGAATATAAACTCATCAATATTTTTTACATAAAATCATTTATCCACATTATTATTATTTTAACTATAATCCAAATAATCAAGTGCACTATTTGTTGGATATTGATCTCCGGTGAGATATATGTCCGATAATATTTTTATTCCATTTTTTTGATTTATTATTAATTCATATTTCATATGGAATACCTCCGGTCTTAAATTATACAGAATACCTCCGAATTTTACATGCCTATAATTCATATGGAATATGAATTCTTCAATAATTTCTACACAAAATCATTTATTCACATAAAATATTATTTTATCTGAACTATAGTCCAAACAATTAAAAGTATTTGTGGGATTCCGTTCTTCCATGAGAAACATTTTAGAAAATATTTGTATTCATTATAAAATGAACAATCTATATATAATATTCGGAGGTATTTAAGTTGAATGGGTTGCACTTAGTTTAGGGTCGATGATGACGAGGAACGAGTTTTTTTGTGAAGTTAATGTGGTATTTATTTTATATCCTCATCAGCTTTATTTAATGACCTATATTGTTGTAAAATTAATTTTGTGTCGATTCATTGACCCGGGCCGAAGACGGTAAGAGCCCATTTGGCCCCTTGACAGGTGGCTAACGTTAACTTTGCCACGTCTACCCCTCTGCGACCGACTCCCCCCTCCTCTCTCTCTCTCTCTTCCCCTCTCTCTCGCCCTCTCTCCAGACGCTCCCCGCCCCACCCCCCTCTCTGTCTCCGTCTCTCTCTTTCTCTCTAGGAACTCCCCGCTCTCCCCGCCCCCACCCCCCTCTCTGGCCTCCTTCTCGTTCCCTCGCTTTCTCGTTCTCTATCTTTCGCTTGCTCTCTCTCTCTCTAGGCGCTCCCCGCTCCCGCCCCCTCTCTCTCAGCCCTCCTCTCTGTCTCTTCTTTCTTCCGTGGTCATATTCTGTGGTTTTCTTCTCTACTGTCTTCCCCTATCTCCTTAGAGCTCTCTCGCTTCCCTCTCCCTCGCTACGTTGGTATCTTGTACAAGAGTCTGTCTGGCAGCAGTTCGCGGCGGCCAGGACAACAGAAGAACATTTGAGGTATACGTATGTTGCTGTTCATAAATTTTTAGTATGCATAATTTTCGAGTATTTAACAATATGCATATCTTGTCCGGAGAAAGGGTGCAGTGAGTATTAAATTAATTTGTTTTCATGATGGAATCATGCCCATGAGTGGAGATGAGTTGGCGGGAACGCAGATGTATAAGCTTTTTTAGGAGTAGAAAAGTTAATGACATGAGACATATCACAAATCAGAGGACAAACTATGATCTAAATGCACCTTCTCCAAGGTTGCAGTAAGAGTATTGAAATGGCCTAACGATTTGGTTTGAATTAGCAAATTAATTCTTTTTTACGATGGAATCATGCTCATGGATGGCAATGATCTGATGTCCTTTGGGGGGAACATAGATGTATAAGCTTTTGTAGGGATAGAAAAGTTGATGAAATTAAACAGATGACATATCAGAAGACAAACTAGTATCTAAATGTGGTTGCTCCAAGTTTTCAATTAGCGTATTGAAGTGGCCTAACGATTTGGGTTGAAAGTAACGATAATGGGTTGTATTGGAGAATGAGTTGAATGAGCGGGAGCATCACTTACTCTGATATGGCAAGACTTTTATCTTTTATCCTTTCTACCCCTCTTCTTCTCATGTTTTTCTGTACTCGCAAACTAGGTTCATCATCTCATGTTGATTTTTTAAAAATCTGCAGCTACAGAATTAGCAGCTTTAAGATTCGAAGTTGAATTGTTGACGTGTTGAAAAGTGGTGGAGATGTTATCCGGAATAAAAATTATTCCACGAGATAAGGTCAATAGCTCCTCCAGGAAGGAGGTATCTGAGTTGGATTATTCTCCAGGGAAGAGGAAGAAGTCTAAGAGTAAGAAAAAGAAACATGACAAGAAAATGAATAAGCGGAAGAGTTCCTACAGCTCTGATGATGATGACGACATCATGTCCCAGTCTACAAGTGATACTTATTCAGAGAGTGAAGAGGAGCTGAGTAGAAAGAAAAAGTCTAAGACGAAAAGGAGTAGCCTCTCATATGACGAGGATTCTTTATCAAGTGATGAGGGAAAGAAGAAAAAGCGTGCCAAGGCAAAAAACCAGGCGGTAAAAGGTAATTCGCTCATCAGATATTCGTTTTATGTGTCAATTGCCATGCTGATATTCAAAATCTCTGTTAGGAGTTTATAACCATTCTTTTTGCAGAGGAGATTGGAGAGAAGTCCCACAGGGATAAAGAACTTTTGAGGAAAGAAATGGGTCTGGACTGGATGCTAAAGTCTAGCGATGGTATGGCAAGGAAGCCTGCTGATCTTGATCATGTCCATGAAGAAGTTGTAACAGAAGAGGTATACTTGTGCATCTGCCCATGTGCGATCTATTTATTTAGTAGTGCCCCTTATTCCATCTTCACATTTGAGTGACCTTTTAAAACAGAAGAATCTGAGAAAGATCAAATTATATTTTCTTCAACATAATACTCAGATGCTGATACTCTGCTATAATCAAAAAAAGGAATTTTTTTTAAAGGACTTGGAATTATGTCACTTATATCCATTTTACTAACTTATCAATGGTTTGTCAGATGCATAATCTTGTACCATCATGGAATTTTAGGTAGGAGCTGCATTAGGGTAAAGGAGAGAGGTGAGGGGTGACATAACAGAGATGGATTGGGGAAGTAGAGAGGAACAGAAGATAGATGAGGTCACAGAGACACTGAAAAAGAAGAGAGAGAACTAGCGGAAACAAGAGAGAAGCTGCCCTGGGGGGGAGGGGAAGAGAATTAAATATAGAAACCTAGAGCAGAAGATAGATGTGTGTGTGTGTGTGTGTGTGTGTGTGTGAGAGAGAGAGAGAGAGAGAGAGAGAGTTTTGAAAATAAAGAGAGAGAACTTTGAAGATAAACAAATTAAGATTGGATGAAGATGGAAAAAGTGTTGAAAGGTGTATCAAAATAGCCATAACATTTGTCACTTTTTGTAATGGTTTCATTTGGGATACCTGCAACTTTTAATGCTAATGGCTTTGCCAGGTTGGACGTTCATGATGTCAGTACACGGAAAGAAAACCATTATCTTCTTGGGATATTTATTGGACCGTCCTTTGGAAATTTTCTTTTCATAAATAGATATCATACTTTGATTAAAACAACCTTTCATTCGCTAACTCGACATTCGATCGGAATTGGTAAATCATCTAGTGCAAAGGTCTGATTGACATCTGCTCAATACGTCTTAGTTAATCCATATTGAAATGATGACGCTTATGGTTGATTGACTGATTTTAATTGATAGCCAAATTTCAAGCGTGGACATGCACGAGAGGATTTTTCTATATTTTGAGTCTTTTAAAATCTTTAGTGGCAGGTTAAACTGGAGAATGTATATTACGCTATCATTCCTTGAGCCTAATGGTCAAGAGTATCGTGTCACATTTGCTTTGCCAAATCAGTTTTGTCTAAAAAGATGTCATCCTGTTTTTTTGTCTTAGCAGGAAGTGAGACCCAATCCAAGAGAGTTGAACCCATATTATAAAGATAGTGGAAGTGGTTTCCCAGAAGAAGCACCTGATACTGCACAGAATTCGAGCAAACTTTTTGCTTCTTCAGTTGTTGGTGATGGTGGAGCTAGTTGGCGACTAAAGGCATTAAAACGTGCACAGGAGCAAGCAGCTAGAGATGGGCGAAAACTTGATGAAGTACCGATATCTTTGATTTTTCTTGAAATAACAACTTTGAAATACTGATCACGTTTAATTTTTGCAGGTTGTCGAAGAACGTTGGGGATCTTTGGGTCAATTAGCTGCATCTGTAGCATCTCGTAGAGTTGCACACACTCATGCACATCAGCATGCCATAAAAGATAGAAGAAGAGGAATCACAGAAAAACCTGAAAAAAATGAGCATGATCAAATGAAGGGACAAAACACAGAAGCACGGATTGGTCACCGCGATTATTTGCAGGATGTTTCTTCTCGTCATCCTGAAATGAGAAAACCAAAACCTGATTCAAATGGGTGGAGAAAGAGGAAGACAAGTGTCTTAGGCGATAATACAGTTATATCTGACGCTCTGTCAGCGTTAAATAAATTTTCAAATGATGGTAGCTTTTTGGATACGATTACTGTTCAGCAGGGTAGAGGTCCTGGAAATTCAGTTGAGGATGTAAGTGAAATCAGGACAGAGGAAGCTGTTCCTTCCAAAACCATCACATCCGAGAAAGAACATTCGGTTGCCGTGCATGGATTGAGTGCGAATCAATTGGCAGCTAAAGCAATGCAGCTTCGTTTAAAAGGGAATCATGAAGAGGCTGAAAAACTCCTGGTGAGAGAACACATCTACTTACAACTAGATTTTTCTCTTTGGCTTTCTACGTCCTTATTTACGTATCTAATTTCAATATAGAGAAGGAAATTGCACGCCTTTATTTTTATTCAGGCAGAAGAAGAATCCTACAGTGGAAGAAATTTCTTTTGTAATGAAAAATTTATTAGCTTCACTAAAAGATGGCTTCGTTCTTTACATGAAGACTTGGTTATTGAGTAGCCGCACTGGCTTTGCTACCTTTGGTATTGCTTATGGGGTATTACTATCTTAATGTGCATTGATTGATCGTTTGGATGTGTTCATTCAAGATGCCAAGCCATCTTTTTGGTAGGGAGGTTGAACTGAGCATCAGATTCGAAGGTTAAGCTTAGTGTCAATTATATTCCTCCAGGATTTGCGTGGCAGACAGTCGTATTTCTGAGAAATTATTAGGGGTTGCAGAAATATTGAAGCCATGCTTTTATTTCTTGAACACTCGTCTCTAGAACTTAAGCACTTGAATAATTTTCTTTCTTGCTCGTTTTCAGAAGGAAGCTGAGTCCATGAGTTGCAACCGAGATTCAAAGGCTAAACCCATTGTTCAGGAAACCAAGGGAAACACAAGCAGGTTTACCCACTCACTTCAGTTGTGCATAAAACAAAATTTTCACGAAGAAATACATTTTGTAGCATTAATTATCCCATTAGAGCAAGAATCATAGCATAAACTGTTTGTTCATTGCTTGATCATGGTTCCCGGTATATAATTCACTTTACTTATTTTTATTCTCTGACAATCTCAGGTATGATGAGAGGAAGGCTTCTAGCCATTTGAAGAAAAGGGAGGATGACGGTGATTTGAATTTGGCACAAAGAATTATGCGAGATCGAAAATATAGCATGTCTGGGCGAGCAGATGACGAGTATGATTTTGATGAAGCTCCCACTAGAAAACATAAGAAGAAAAGGGAAGTGGCAGCAGAGGAGAAGCATAGCATTGGCAAGCGTATCTTGACACAGCAGGAACGATGCCAATTTTGCTTTGAAAACCCGTCACAACCAAAGCATCTTGTTATCTCAATCGCAAACTTTACCTATATGATGTTACCACGGTATCAGCCTCTTGTGCAAGGCCACTGCTGTATTTTGCCATTGCAGGTAAGCAAACCATCAGCCTGTCTTCCTTCTGTCCACGCAGTTATTAATTAATTGGTGCAGCCTATGTTTCATTTATATATATGATTTCTCTTCCGGAAGGAAGCGTCTGTTTGAAAGTTAGAATGCTTTTTAGCCATATGCTTCTTGAGAATCAAAGTCGGAGCATTTTTGTACTCGTTACCCATTTTTTATTCCTTCTCATTCACAAATATCCGACAGCTAGAAATTTGATATCATTTGGCACCTAAAATGCAGCATGAGGCTAGCACTAGAACAGTTGACGATAACGTGTGGGAAGAAATGCGCAACTTCAAGAAGTGTCTGATAATGATGTTTGCCAAGCAAGATAAGAGTGTGGTATTCCTCGAGACAGTAATTGGCCTGTCCAAACAGCGTCGTCACTGCTTAGTTGAGTGTGTCCCTTTGCCCAGTGAGCTTGCAGCAGAAGCACCTATGTACTTCAAAAAGGTATGGAGCAGGCTTTGTGCCTAGCAAATGTTTATATTTTTCTCTGTCTTTCTGGTAATCGAGCAGGCTTATGCTGCTTATTGTGGCAAGGATGTTGTTCTTTTTTTCTGTATCGTAATCTGTTGTAGCTTTCTGAATGTCTTAGCTACTACACTCTGCAAGTTCCCCAATCTCTCTCTCTCTCTCTCTCTCTCTCTCTCTCTCTCTAAGGTACTTCTCATTCTCACAGGCAATCGATGAAGCCGAGGACGAGTGGAGCCAGCACAATGCCAAGAGGCTTATTGAGACCACAAGTGAAAAGGGTCTGAGGCGAGTGATCCCCAAGGATTTCCCCTATTTCCACGTGGAGTTTGGCTTAGACAGGGGATTCGTCCACGTAATTGACGACGAGGGAAGCTTCAACAGCAACATTGGCCTGAACGTCATCAGGGGCATGCTCCAACTCCCTGAGGAGGACATGTACCGCCGCCGCCGACAGGAAGCTGTAGAGACCCAGAGGTCAGCGGTGGCAGCTTTCGCACGGGAATGGGAACCCTTCGACTGGACAAAACAACTCAGCTAATTCAGCAGCTCATGTAAGCATATCTAATAATAACCCTTTCTGAATGGTTGCCTAGATCGTTATCACTGTTAGGATCTTGTCTTTGAATTATGCCCCCCAATATTTTTTTATTAACTTGCATCTGAAGAGCAGGAATCTGAGCCTAGTAAGGTATGCTGATGGTGGTGCGTTGGTCTTTGAATATGTCTATGGTTTTGACTGTGTTCTTCTTGTGCGTGTCCATCGTCTCTTGGATTTCTAAGTCAACTCAACCTGACATTAGCAACAATAAGCACATTTAAGTCCATGTAGTTGATGGAGCCATCTACTGAGCAATCAGATGAAAGTTATCTCATTTTTGACTCCCTTGAGGCTTGACAGATGCTATTTTTTGCATCACATAAGTGGAGCTAAGATAATTAGGCCAGAAATGGATATCTAGATCTGGGTTGGCGTCTAGAACTGCCAACTTACCATTTGAGGTGGGCTTCTTCTGACCCACTCTTTCCGGTCCGAGTTGTAAACAAAGATTTATTGGCCCTTGATTGGCCCAGCTGCAAGTCTTCGAAGCAGAGATTTATCCAGTGGTTTGTAAAGAGCTTTCAGCAGCTAAGGAAGTCACTTTGCTTGACTTGAGTTGCTCAATTTCTTGCTCCATGCTTATGACACATAATGGACTGAGGCTATAAGACTCTTGAAGAATCCCCTTCATCATGTGTGCGTGGCTTACCCTGTACAGTCTAAGTTAAACTCACTTTAATTGGTAATGGAAGAATTGAGAAAGTTGCAATTGCCTACAAGAGTCTCAATAAAATTGAATTGGGGCACATTTTGTCCCTCCATTTATTCAAGGTTCTGACTTCTCTTGGTCTTTTGTTGTTAAGAGTATCACCAGGTAATCTTTGACGTGACCCATACCTAAAGGTCGTGGTAAATATTGGTTAAATAATCAATATAATAATGAAAATTAAATATGGTTCCAATATATATTTTTTAAATATATCACTAGTGAGGATTTTTATTAGGAAAAATGAGATTATTTTCAAGAGGAATAATATGATTCAAGATATGTAGATTATTATAGATGAAACGTTTTGCAAATCTTAAAACTCATTTATCAACACTTTTTAGATTTTTTATCCACATTTATTTAACCTTTAATTTTACATATTACACATTCAATTATGTCAAAGTAAGTATGAGATGTTGTTTATTCCTCATCATGTAAAGGAAAAAACCACTCAAATTTGATGTTCAAATGGTGTTAAGCTAAATATATTTCTTAAAATTTGGCATGAGATACTTTAAATTGGATGACCTCACCAAAGAGTCGAGAAATGATTCTTAAGTTTCTCAGTGTATCCTAGAAAATGTTAAAGAATCACTCAATCCACTAATATCTCTCTATTTTCCCAATGAAATCTAGTAGGTATAATGGAATGTAAATTAGAGAACATTTGGTTGATAAAAATGAAAAGTTTTGTATATGTTTTCATGCTTTTATCCAATAATAAATTTTCAATCAAATGAAGGAATAAGAAGATTAAATATAATATAAAAAATAATCATAACATTACAGTCATCTTTATTGGTGATACATATGACCCTAGCCTATGTTTTGTTTGAAGATGAAGAAGATACCAAACACAATATCATGATCACATGCTTTGATCCTTTTAGAGTAATTTCTCACCCATGAGGAGGGAGATAACTTGTAAAAGATAAGAGTATACAACTAAGTGAGTCATAAGACGTCATGAAGAGTTATCGATTACATCACATTTGGGCCACACTTATCCAAATAGGTGATGGATTACATTGAATGTTACCATTCACTGCCTAGCAGTGCTTATGAGCGTGCTGGGCATGGTACTCAACTCAAGAATGAAAGCTTAGTAATCAGACCTAAAATTTACAAAGACTACTTGTTTAAGTGACAATATTGTGAAATGAGACTTTCCTTCTTCAACAGGACCATGCCAATCATTACACTTCATGGAGGTATGTGACTAAATTGTGCAACATATTCATACATGCACTTATCAGCATGGCATGGCATGCACAAATATGCATGACTCGAGCAGATTATACCATCAAGTCAAAGCAAGGATTATAGGAGGCATTCATGGACCTTTGGAGATATTGTGTGTAGGTAGCACATGTTGGCATCTATATGGCATGATGTCACATAGTGTTGTTACAGTGTGACATGTTGTGAGATGAACAACACATGGATCATCAAACATTGTGATGTCGTATAACATGGCACATGTAGAGACATGGAGCATACAATAACAATGAAATGGGGTTGACATGTGAGGTTACTAACCTCTTAGGGATGCTCTACATTGGAAACTTGCACTACTAGCTAATCCTATCAAGAGAATAGTTGCACTGCCCTATCAACAAGTTGGTTAACCACCAACTGTCATGTCCCAGATTGTCAAGCAATCACATCATGGGGTAAGGTTAAGTCCTTTTTATTCTACAAAAGAAGGCCATGGGCGATCACAACTTTTCTTGTCAAGTGTTGCTAAACCCTTCACTGCATATTGGAACTACGTCATAATTTCCCATCTGCCTTATGATCAAGCTTGTTTCTAGGATTCCATACTTTAGGCCTTTAAGTTCATAATGACGTCATGCTTGCCCAATGGATACAATCCACTCATGGTAAGACTTCATATGGGTTTGATGGACTCTTTATATTTAACAACTGGCCCCACATTTAATGCTGGTAAAAAAGATGTGGCTACCTGGCTGGTTGAATGTTGTTAACAGGAATTAGTAATTCACTCTTCTCAACGACAGGTTCTGGAGATTTCTTAGTCCATCATGCTATTGCTCTAGGGTTTGCATACAACTACCTTGGTTCTAGTAAAAGAAAGGTGTTTTAGATGAAAAGGATGGGATGGTACTTGTGATATTTCAGCTTGGGACTCATTTAATTTGACAGTTTTCTGGATGTCAAATACCATTGGATGGGTTACTACTCTTTATTGGCATTGGAAACACATTACATTCTGGCAAGGTAATGTTTCACAAATTAGTGAGTCCTCCACTTCTTTGATGGGTTGGTTAAGAGATTTATTTATGGCTAAACTGCTCACAAGTTATCAGTGGATATAACCCTTTCGGTATGAATAGTTCTTATTTGGACATCTTGTTTGGGTTAATGGATTTATGTGTTCAATCTCCTGCCGTGGGTTGGGCACTGGCAGGAATTAATTGAAAAGTTAGCATGGGCTCATGAGCGCACAGCACACCTTTAGCAAATTTGAATGGATGGAGAGACAAGCCCAGTGGCCCTATCCATTGTGCAAGCAAGATATGTAGGATTGGCCCATATAAATGACGCATGTGATGAGTGGATAATGCATAGGAGGTCAAGCAATATGAGAAGAAACAACCCCTAAAGAGGCCAGAGCAAGACCTAATAGAACCATTGACTTTAGTTCCTGATTCGGTCAGAGTGGAAGTCAGCCTGAACTCACCTTTCAGTCTCTGTTGAGCCCATCTTGCTATGCACTGAGGTACGGTGGGCCATTGGTCTCTACACATACATCCTCATCCAGGGGAAGCACACAAACACCATATTAAGAAGATAATAAGCCGAAAGCAGAAACCATTAGAGAAAATGGAGCACAAGATCTCAGTTGCACATGAAAATTTTACCAAAAATGGGACAGGATGTCTGCCACAGTAAGTCTCCTCTGCCCCTCAACACCGGAGAGCCATTTCATGCGAATATCACACCTTCACCAGATATAACCTCACCAATGAGAAATGCAGGGTTGTTGCTCCCACTGGATTCTGTAAGTATCCTTGCAGAGGTCTCACGGTTCACAACAAGAACCATTCCGATTCCCATATTGAATGTTCGCCTCATCTCCGAATCTTCAATGTTTCCAATCTGCGATGACAAAATATCAATCAACCAAATGGAATGCCCCGAAAGAAACAATAAAACAGTTGTTTCATCTCTTTTTTTTTTTTTAGAACCTCATCACATTCTCGCTATATCATCAGGAAAAATATAGCGAGAAATACCATATTCCCCTAGGAAAAATATTTTAGGTTCGCATTGTATATTTTTAGCTAGTTTGTTCACCTTTGACATCATTGAGCTTTCCTATGATTCATGTCAACGGATGTGACTGAGAGACTGTTCGTATAATGGTTATTTTTTTCTCTAATTCAATGTGCACTCTTCTTTCTCGTCATATCAATGTTTAGAAAATCCTTATTTATAGGCTTCGGACAGAGCTATGTGAGAAAAAAGAAAGAAAGAGTAGGAAAAAAATCAATTTCGAATAATTAGCAAAAAACTGACACAAAAATGTATACTTTTTCAAAAGAGTTCCCAGATAAATACCTCCTGGATCCATTTGAATATAGCAGGAACTTCCCAAGAATCTTTGTAAATTTTTGCTCCAAGGCCTGTTGGAAATACTCTAGGTATGTTGTCTGTAAAGCCACCACCAGTGATATGTGCTATTCCCTTCACACCACCTTTGCTGATAATGTCAAGAACCTATTGTTCATTGCATACCAATGCTTCAGCCATCAGACCTCCAAGGTAATTACTTCTCAGATCTAGTAGTGACAAACGCAAAACAAAATATTATCCATACAAATATATACCTGTTTAACATAGATAACAGTCGGAGCCATTAGCGCTTCACCTAATGTAACTGATTTACCACTGTTTGTAGGAAGCTGATCATTCAACGAACGACCACTGTGTGCTAGAACCCTAAAATACATGCAAGGAAATCAATAATACAGAAGCAGCTGGCAAGCTTTACGTTAAAAGAGGACGAAGTACATTTTAAAAAACCTACTTTCTCACTAGAGAGAACCCATTCGAATGAACACCACTGGACGGGAGGCCAATCAGAATATCGCCCTCTTCAATACCCTTCCCGTCAATGACCGACTCCTTCTTGACAATACCAACAGCAAACCCACTAAGATCGTACTCGCCTTTTGCATAGAAATCTGGCATCTCAGCTGTCTGCAACACATACCTTTACATTACAAATTATGAGAAAAACGACAGAAATTGACAACTATTGTGTTAAAAAAACTCCACCAAATTCCAACTGCATGGATTCCTTTGAGAATAGAAGTGCATATCAAGTGGCCCGAACAAGATCTAGTCCAAGGAATTAATTTCTCAACTGATCAGATAGATCACTCAAGTCAGTTGTTTAATTCATAATTCTAAGACTGTGTAGGATTAAATGATCAAGATTAGCTCACTTATGCCTCACAAATACCCTCATGTCTCAAGTGCCGCACTCGATTATTGCATGACTCAATTTATGATACCCACATGTCTTATGTACTACACTGGATTACTGTATGACTCAATTTATGATACCCTCATGTCTTATGTACTACACACGATTATTTTATGACTCGATTTATGATGCGCGCCCATCCCTTAATATAGTCAATGCCCTATGCTAACAGATACATTAGCCATGATATTATGATGCACACATCCTCTAAAAGATTGTCCTTTATAGTGGACTAATGACCACCTCATCAGTCACAATATACAGAATATGGAGGATGGAGGATTGGCGGGGGGCCATCTGGAACCTGAAAAAATCGTGATATGTATCTGAGGTTTAGTGCAAGTCCGATTGCCCTAAAGGTAACTCACTCTGAAAGCCAAACCCATGACAATGAAAACCACATTAGTTTAATATATTGCGTTGACACAGCAAGCTGTTGGATCAGAAATCACTGGCACGATGCTAGGACTCAACTAGTCACTGTGCACAAAAGACCATCTCTCTTGAGTTCACAAACAAGATGCAAGAAAGGAACAAGCTATTTTGAACCAAACGCCTTCCCTCATGAGACGTGGATGTGTACAACCAAAGTTTTGTGCATCCAAAGTGAGAAGCTGACCAATTCTGAATCAAAATGACAAATAGATAAAGACGAGTCTCAATCTGCGGACCATAAGTGCAGCCAACAGATGAGGTAAGTCTACATCACGAAAAGTCCTACATTAAGCAACTATTTACACTCTATACTGGTTTACGTCCCATGGGAAAAGGTATCATCACAAAATCCTATACGTATCCCTTGAATAAGGTGATTTTTAAAACTACGTATCCATTGAATATTTCTTCCGCATCTTTTACGTTCCATTTTATTACTCGAAATGATGAATGCGACCCTACATCAAAGACAACAGCCAATTAGTGATGTTGATTCTCCGGAGGCTTCTGATGAGGTAAATGGTTTTCCATTTTCCCAGCCAGTAAGGAATGAAGCCACAACTTCCCAACCAACAGTACAGTGGACTGGAGATCACTGATACCCCTTCTTCTCCAGCTTGACCCAGGTGGTTTGATGGCTAACTCTCCCCCATTTGATGGCACAAGGAGACAACGGACACTAAATAACATAAGAGGGAGGAGGCTGGAGGCCACTAAATCCCATCTTCCTGTAAGGGACTGCTATTGATGCTATTTACTTCCTCTCTCAAGGAGGAAGATTTTTACGTTCTCTTCTCAGAAAGCACTTACTTTCCTTAAAAGCATGGCCACTCATCAATGAAATAACGGTAGATCCAGTTTGTATAGCTTTTTTCTAAATCTGAAAGAGAGGAAAAAAAAATTTCGAATACAAGGTTTCGGAGGTTTAAACCCAAAAAACAAAAAAAGGGAGCTATGGCAAAGAGATGCATGACTCAGTAAAATAGAAATTTCTGGTAAAAAATGCTAATTATGGTACCTCTCCTCCCAAGAGAACACAGTCAGATTGCCGGCATCCATCAACAATCCCCTTTATTACCTGAAATGCACCACAAAATGAACATTGATATAACAAGCAGTGATATAAAGATAACACTGGACATAATCAACACAATTTCAAGTAGAAAAGAAACCTTAAACCTAAAGATTCATAAGGAATTCATTGTAAGAAAACATGAGAAGTTTGTGATATCCACCTGTTCTGCGAGATCAACATCAAGCTGGCTTGTTGCAAAATAGTCAAGAAAGAACAATGGTTTCGCTCCAGAAGTAACAATATCATTCACACTCATCGCAACCTGTGAAGATGCATCAAACAGACTTTGTTCACTATGAACCAGTGAATCATTTTTGGTTGTGAAAAAGTAACGGCCTCTACCAGATCAATCCCAATGGTACCATGGATGCCCGTTTCAAATGCCAGTTTAAGCTTGGTTCCAACACCATCCGTACCAGCAACAAGGTATGAATCCCCTGATCATATTAAACAAAAAATTGGTTTATAATGCACAATATTTTAATTCATCAAAATTTTATGAAGTTATTTGGAAGTCTCATTTTGAGAATTATTCATTTGTGGTTTCAGTGCCCCAGAGTCCATATTTTTCGTTAAACAAGACTCATTGGTTGATCACTTCCAAAAATTTCAAAAAAAGCATTGAAATTTCCAGTAGCACCAAGCTTTGAGCTATTTTATCCCATGGAAAATCAGAATATCTACAAAAAAACCAGTGTCTGTCGCATGTAAATACAATCATGGTCTAGTCGTTGACCGTTTTTTTTAAAAAAAGTTATATGTTCACAAAGAGAGCCAAAAAGTATACAAGTTTGGCATGTGCCTTCATGAAAGGTAGCAAAAGCAGCAGAGAGTTAATGAGTATTAGATTCGTCCAAGGCCTCTAGGTTGACACCGAAAATCAGAGAATATTGAGTATAATATTTTGCACCGGTCCTCACAACAGGCAGCGTTTCCCATTGACATTTAATGGTTGTTGGACACTGGAAAGCTTTCAGGTCATGCAGAGCCTAAAAAATTCCAAGGGTTTCAACTAAAAGATTTTCCCTCATACTGGCTGCTCGGGAACCAACCACTTGTGAGCCTATAGGACCATAAGTGAGGATTATTCCAAATAACTATTTTTCTGGGAAGTGATATTCCCGACAATTGTCCTGTTTTTCAAGTGTGTTTCAGTTCACATAGGACTTGCAAAACTTCTTATAAAAGAAAATTCATACGGCCATTCAATTCTGAGTTCATATGAGATACCAAACTTTCAGAGAATTAAATCTCATTTTTTGAGCCGTGAAATCTTTGAAGTACGCTGTGAAATCGGCTAATTAGTCAAATCCATATGGAAATTGACGCTCTGCTTCTTGGTATCGATGAACAGAGAATCACAAAACTGGAAGATTTCTGAATCCATATGGGCAAAACTCATGGATATTTTTTACGTTTCCATATGGAGACGATGATTAAATCCATATGGAGATTTCTGAATTAATATCAATATCTCCTGAAAGAATAAATAATAGACAAAACTCATGGGAAACTGAAATAATTGGAAGAAAATTTCAAATACCGACTTTGTCGAGCACTAGAGAGAACTATAATAGGCAGACAGCATAAAGCTTCCATTAATGCAAGGCATATCCAAATACAGTGGGACATGAGATCACAAAAAGCAAGTAAATTCAAGGGGAGAGATCACAGAAAATCGTTACCACAGTCTCTCTGTCAGAAAGACTTCGTCTGTGATGAGAAAAAGTAATATATGAGAGAAAGAAAAAAGAGTACAACGGAGCATTCAGCTGCCACTTTGCTTCTAATTTTCCCCGAGAAAATTCCCCGCAGGGAGAAGAAAGAAAGGGCAAGGATAGTAAGGCTATGGACGAGTTGTTCTTAGCTTCAGGGATTCCCTGAACAGAGAAATGTATCAAAGGAAGAATCGGCATAATAAGTGAGGAAAGTACCCAGGGGGAACAGCCCGCCAAAACCCCCAATGCCTGGCGCCATCTTGGCGATCCTTCGAACGAGCTCCGTGCCGGCGTCGATGTCGACGCCGGCTTCCTTATACGTGAGGCCGCGAGCTTCGGCCCCTCCTCCCGCTGATGAGGAGGAAGAAGATAAGCAAGACACAACCGGACTAATCCTCCACGTCTCCCCTGGAGACGCAGCCCGAAGCACCATCCTCTCCAGGCCAGAGACCCTCCCCCGCCGGGAGGAGACGATCCCGCAGCCACAGCACGCTTCCTTCGCCTGCTTCTTCTCTCCCGCCTTGGGAGCAAACACGGCCGCGGCACAGCCGTGGACGACCTGCTCCGCCGTCGCTACGGCTACCCCGAAGCTCCCGTTCATGGTGAACAATAAGAACAATGGAAGAAGAACAGCGCGCAGGTTCCCGATTAGTCCGGACACTCCAATCGGCGCTTGATGAAGCAGGTCCAGTGACAGTATTCCTGGGGTATTAGGAAAAGAGAGAGAGAGAGAGAGAGAGAGAGAGAGAGACTACTTCTCGTCGCCGTTACAGTACCTTCTTCCTTTCCTCTTTATTTAAAGCTTCCCTCCCTCCGGCCACCCTAACGGGTCTCTGTACTTTCTTCGGGTGGCTCCGGAAGGGGAACCTGATCCGACAGCAGCACTGATACCCCACCCGCCATATCTCCCTCCTTCAAGACCCGCCGCTCCTCTGAAACATTTTTTGTCAAGAACTTTAGGTTATTTGAATAATTCCCGTCTCCTTTGTAGATAAAAAATAAATATTAATTATCTCACCGGGTATAAATGGATTTCTCAAGATCAAATCTCGCCCATTTATCAGATATTTAGGAAGAAATATTATAATCCAGTATGCGTAGTTAATTTTCCGAATTAAATATTTTGGTTATTTTTAAATAAAATTTTGGTTGTTCGATAATTAATTAGGGTTTTAACCCCCGTCTCAATTATCATAAGATATTACGAAAATGTCAGCAAAATGATGAGCTTAACATGAGAAATGCTGGTCCATTTACCACATATTTAGTAATAAAAATTATAATCCACTCTGCTTATTTATTTTCTGGATAATTTTTTTTGGTTATTTGAATGATTCCTCAATCTTTTTAGATAATAAATAAATATTGATAATCACGAGAAGGCTTTCAATTGAGATAAAAAGGTTTTTATTAATATAATAATAAAAATAAAAATATCACGTTGGAACATTTACCAGATTTTTTAAGTAAGAAAAATTATAATCCACCCTACGTATTTAATTTCCCAAACCAATTTTGTTTGGTTATTTGAATAATTCCCTACCTCTGCAGATAATAAAAAAATATTGATAATCATCAGAAGCCTTTTCATTGAGAGAAAAAGGAAATTTATTATTATAATACAAATAAAAAATATCATGCTGGAGTATTTACCAGATATTTTAAGGAAGAAAAATTATAATCCACCCTGCGTATTTATTTTGTGTTATTTGAATAATTCCCAACCTGGGTCGAGAAAAATATATACTGAGAATCATCATAATGCTTTTGATTTCAGAAAAAAATATTTTTTTATTAATCCAATAATCAGAAAATATCCCGTATATGCGACAAATTACTAGTAGTATTTAGAGAGAGGAAGACCGAGAGGGGCTTCCCTATCTGCGGCGCACACGTGTACCGGCTTTTCCCCAGCAGTAGGAAGAGGTAGATCCAACGGCTAGCATGAACAGAGGATATGGACCGCAGGATGAAGACAAGTGGGGTCGGATCAACGGAGATTAGGGTTCGTCGAGGGGGCATCATGGTAACATCGTCTTCTTCCCCGAGAAGCCCACAAGTACCCTTTCCTGGCTCTAAATCCCTTATCGGCGATCCCCAATTTTGCCCTCCCTCAACTCCGCCCCCTCACCTCTTCGCTTGCCGTCTCTGCCCCTCATTCTTCTTGCCCCTGCAATCGCGTAGTGCCCCTCCTTCCTCCCAGTCGCGGAAATTTCCTCCTCTTCTTGCCCTTCCCCTTTTTCGAATTTTCTCTCTTCCCCGCTAAACCCCGCCAAGCGCGGCAGCGCGGCTCTGGTCTTCCTCGCACTCCTCGGCCGAGGGTGAAGCCTCCGGGTTGGAGCCGAGGGGGTGGGGAAGCCCCCTCCGCCTCCAATTAGTTCCTTCCGCTGCAATCCCTTCTCGCCGGTGGGTATTCCTCTCTGCTCTCCGCAGATTTTTGTTTTTTCGTTTTTCCGGTTCTGACGCGGCCGTCTCCTGCCGGCGCCGCTGGTTTGCTTTTGATTCCTACTGTGCTCTGCTTAATATTTGTGCCGTCAGTAATTTTCTGATCTGTTCTGCACCTCTCAGGTCTTCAGGCTCTTTCTTCAAGGCACCCTTTTTCCCGCTTGGCTGAATTATTTCGCTGTTCTACTGGTGGAGGATGGTCAGATGGAGCTGTGCCCCTAGCAGGTTTCTCACCCATCCCTTCCGTACTTTTTCTCCTTTAAATCAGCATATATTGTGTGAAATTCCCCCTGGAAAATGATATGATCAGTTCATCAGTTCTTCGCAAGTATAAATGAAACGTTATTTTGGCCGATACCTTGATGATATCTTTCTTTCTTTTTTGTCCTTTCGGCATTCTGGATGCCCTTCTATGTTCATCCAGTTAGGGTCGGGCTCTTCCAGGTGGGTCATTCAGGTTCATTCTCTCGGCACTAAGATCGTCGACAAAGAGTTTGCCTCTGTGAGAGAGGCCCATCATGGCGAACCATGACCTGGTTCTTGGGCAGAACCCTGACTTGGCCTTGGGGCAGAACCATGAGTTGGGCATGCGGCAGGCCCATGCCCTCGGCATTGGACAAGCCCACTCTCTGGGGCTCGGGCAGGGGCAGGACCATAAGCTCGGGTTAGGCTCTGCACACGACCACGGGCTCGGGCTCGGGCATCCCCATGACAGCGAGCTCGTGCTTGGTCACCACCATCATCATCACCACCACCACCACATCCCCCACGAGCATGAACAGCATGCCCATGACGAATTGGCCCTCGGGCAGAACCACGATCCTGAAGTGGAGGAGGAGGAGGACGACGAGGACGACTTCAATTCGCAGAGCAATGAGCTGGGGATATCTGAGAATCACGAGTTGACTCTTGCTGAAACCCATGACCTTGGCGTTGACCATAATCTTGACCATCTCTCAGTTGAGCGGTCGCACGAGCTGGCTCTTCAGCAGGGAAACGAGATCGGCGATGACCAACTGATGGTGCACCCCGTTCTTCAGTCCCGCGCTGTGATGATCCACCCAAAACATGAGCTTCAAGTTGGGCAGGAGTTTTCTGATGTCAAGAGCTGCCGCAGGGCCATACGAGATGCTGCCATCGCTTGCCATTTTGAGATACAGACAGTGAAGTCGGACAAGACGCGCTTCACTGCCAAATGTGCCGGCGAGGGCTGCCCCTGGCGCATCCACGCAGCCAAGCTCCCCGGGGTCCCCACCTTCACCATCAGGACCATCCATGAGTCCCATACTTGCAGTGGGATCTCGCACCTTGGCCACCAGCAGGCTTCTGTGCAGTGGGTGGCCAATTCTGTGGAGGAACGGCTTCGAGAAAACCCACACTACAAGCCCAAGGAGATCCTCGAGGAGATCCATAGGGTTCATGGAATCACACTGTCCTACAAGCAGGCCTGGAGGGGGAAGGAGAGGATCATGGCTGCCGTTCGTGGGTCGTTTGAAGAAGGATACCGCCTTCTCCCGCAGTACTGCGAGCAGATCAGGAGAACGAATCCTGGGAGTATCGCCAATGTGTATGGAAACCAAGAGGACAACTGCTTCCGGCGTCTGTTCATCTCCTTCTATGCCTCAATCTATGGCTTTGTGAATGCTTGCCGGCCATTGATCGGGCTTGACAGGACACTTCTGAAGAGCAAGTATCTTGGAACCTTGTTACTGGCCAGTGGGTTTGACGGTGATGGCTCTCTGTTTCCCCTGGCATTTGGTGTTGTCGACGAGGAGAACGAGGAGAATTGGATCTGGTTCTTGTCGGAGCTGCACAACCTGCTCGAGACGAACACGGAGAACATGCCGAGGCTCACCATCCTGTCCGACCGGCAGAAGGGCATCGTGGAAGGAGTGGACTTCAATTTCCCCACTGCATTCCATGGCTATTGCATGCGCCACCTCAGTGAGAATTTCCGCAAGGAGTTCAACAACACCATGCTGGTCAACCTCCTGTGGGAGGCAGCGCAGGCATTGACTGTCATCGAGTTCGAGTCCAAGATCCTCGACATCGAGGGCATCTCGCAGGACGCTGCATACTGGATCCGGCGGATCCCCCCACGGCTATGGGCGACGGCCTACTTTGAGGGCACCCGTTTCGGACATCTGACAGCAAGCATCGTGGAGTCGCTGAATCCATGGCTGCATGAAGCGTCAGGCCTCCCCATCATCCAAATGATGGAAACCATCCGCCGCCAGCTGATGACTTGGTTCAATGAGCGGCGAGAAATCAGCATGCAGTGGACCTCTCCACTTGTGCCGTCGGCCGATCGGCACGTCGCCGAGGCCTGCGACCGCGCCCGCAGCTACTCGGTGGTGCGTGCCAACGAGGCCGAATTCGAGGTTGCCGCTGCCCATGAGGGCCCCAACATTG